TAAGGGAGTATGACAAGATATGTGATCGCTATAATAAAGTCTTTACTACCTTTGATTAAATAGTCCCTGCTTAGCAACCACTTGTTCAGTGACTATTTGCAGTTATAACAGGAGTGAACAAGGAGACTTATGATTGGTTCTTGAAGTTATATGTCACAGCATACCTGCAGTCACATGATTGCAATTCAGGCAGTTTGGGTGCTTGGCAACAGACACATAAATATGACAGTTGCCATTTGCCACCTTCATTGCTAGCTTCCAATAAGCACGATCAGTGGGAAAAGTGGCAGGAAGTTGCAAGTTGTAATCACATTGTGCATAATGACTTTGGACAATTCACTTAACAACTGTAACCAGAACTGCCAGAATTGTAAGTCATCATGGTCACATTATTTTTTGCTTTATAACTGCATTGCTTAGTGATGGAATTTTCAGTTGCAATTACAGGCATTAACTGAGTACTTCCTTTATTTAATATATCCCTTGTTGTTGACTGGAAACCAGAATTAATTTCTGCACTTTACTAGGATTCTTACCAGCAGAAAAAAATGGGTGGAGAAATATGAAGATGAGTAACTGGTTGGAAAAGGCAGTAAACTTTTGCAAGAATTTTGTAAGACCCTGAGCACTTTCTGTGTTAAAAACAATACAGGATAAACAATGAAACACCCATGCACATCTATAAAATGAATACAATTAGTAGGATGCTACAGGGGCCGAGCATCCTAATCTAAGGCATCCTATCCACAGAGAAAAAATGAATTCACGAAGGAATAGTGAATTAAATTAAGAGCAAGGGATAGACTGGGAAATGAAATGAGATGGAGTGGATGACATTCTCAAAAACAAAGAAGTGGTAGGTTTAAAGAACATAATGTAATATATGAGCTTTGCTCTAGCGGATTTTTGTCTATTGGATGCCCTTCTCAAGGACAGTCTCCTGACATCAGTTTTCTTAATTTCTAGACATTAGATGGAGGCTATTTCATTCATATAGTCTGTCAATAGGTTACATTAACATGGTTCTTTTGACATTTACTAGGTGGATACTATTGCATTTTCATTTTCCTGCTCTTTAAATTAGCTGCTTTACTTGCCGTAGCTCCTTTTAAATTGTTTTAACTCGTAATTCAGAGTACAATTTTTTTTTCAAATAAACATATAGGATACAACATATAGGGTATAATGTACAGTAACTATTTCTACTGTTACTGGATATTTTAAAAGAGCCCCCCAACCTTTCCAGCTTGATGGCCTGGAAGGAAAGAGAGCAACAGTGAAATGTGTACGTGCACGGCCCGTACATGTGTGCGATGGTGACGCTAGCATGCGTGCATGCACAAGTAAGTCGTGCACACCTGTGGCACGTGGTAGTGCCCGTGCACAAGCAGGCTGCTGGCACCCGCATGCATGCACAAGCACAAATGGACCGCTAGCGCCTGTGCGATGCTGGTGGCAGTGCTAGCTTTATTGCGCATGCACAAATGGAGCTGCTAGCACCTGCAAGGCAGTGCTACCGTGAGTTGGGGGGGCTTGCCAGCTATTCCTGGGCCCTGAACCATAGGTTGGGAACCCGTTTTAAAACACAATTGTGTTCATATACTTAAAGCATCTGATAGATGCTTTAAGATCTAGATATACATATAAAAAAAATTCACTGGCTGTTTCTTAAGAAAAGAACAGAGTGGACTTGATGGACTTTTACACCCACCAATACACGGATTCCATCTAACATGGCACAGCACTGCCCTTAAGCAAATAAAGTAGTGGTATGAGGAAAAGTGACACTGAACAGGACAGCTGGTCTTGGTTCCCACTTGGAGGAAGACGCACTCCCAATGATTTCAGGCACGATTTGCTCTCAGCAACAAGGAGCCAACTGTCACTGGGGCTCCAACAGGAAAAGATTGAATTCTGCCTTCTGGTACCATACAGATTGAGAAACTGGCAGGGCGAAAGAGAAATAGGCTTCTCCATCAATCTGGCAAGGAATAAAGCAGCTCTCCCAGTATCTTTAGGAGTCAGGCAACTTCACTGTGCTTCTATAGCAACACATCTTCTCTTAGTCCCTATGGAGAAAGCAGCGGATAGTGTTGTGCTGGGAAATTAAGAGTAACTCAGACAAATGGAACTGGCAACAGATGCTGGGCTCTGAACAATTTGCAGGGTACACCAAACTTGGGGAAGTTTATGTGCAAGGAGAGAACCTGGTTTCACCAAATACACTTCATGAAAGATTATAAAAGCACAATCTAACACAATACCACAAGAGACCCTAGATAACGACTCTAGTTATGGCTGCATAAATAACTCTCTGACAAATTGAGGGACAGAAGGACAAGTATGAAAAATGGAAAATGGACATATAACCAAAACAGAATATCAACAAACAGTCCAAATCTGCAGGAAGGGAGTCAAGAAAGCTAAGGCTCAGAATGAACTAAGACTTGCAACAAATGCCAAGAATAATAAAAAGAAGTTTATTTCAATATGTAAGAAACAAGGAAAAAAGTCAAGGAAACAATCAGTCCACTAATGGGAGAAGATGGCAAGGAGGTGACAGGCAGCAAGGAGAAAATGGAACTGCTTCTCATTCTTTGCATCTGTCTTCAGGCAAAAGAAAAAGAAATCCAACTATCAAAAGCAGGACTGTAGGAGACAGAACAGAAATGCAAGTCAAAATAGGCAAGAACAAGGTAATAAAACATCTATCTGCTCTAGAGTCTAGACTACAAATCTTCAGGACCAGATGGAATACATCCCAGGATTTTGAAGGACTGGCAGATGTGATCTCAGAACCACTGAACAAAATCTTTCAAACTCCTAGAACATAGAAGAACCACCAAAAAACTGGAACAGAGCTGATGTGTTCCAATCTTCAAAAAGGGAAAAAAACAAATCCAAGAAACTACAGACCAATTAGCCTGATATCAATACCTGGAAAAGATAATCAAACAACAGATTTGTGAGCATTTAGAAATGAGCAAGGTGATTACTAGCAGACAACACGGGTTTGTTAAAAACAGAACATGTCAGATAAATCTTATTGCCTTCTTTGACAAAGTGACTAAATTAGCGGATCAGGAAAATGCTGTGGACATAGTTTACTAAGACTTCAGTAAGGCATTTGACAAAATAGACCATAACCCACTTCTTGGTAGATAGGACAATGTGGGATAGAAAGTACCACTACCGGATGGGATTCACAATTGACTGACCAATCACACTCAGCACGTAAACCTTAATGGAACTACATTTACATGGACAGAAGCATGCAGTGGGGTACCTCACGGTTCTACAGTGAGGGGAAAAAATATTTGATCCCCTGCTGGTTTTGTATGCTTGCCCACTGACAAAGAAATGATCTGTCTATAATTTTCATGGTAGGTTTATTTTAACAGTGAGAGACAGAATAACAAAAAAATCCAGAAAAATGCATTTCAAAAAAGTTATAAACCGATTTGCATTTTAATGAATGAAATAAGTATTTGACCCCTTCGCAAAACATGACTTAGTACTGGGTGGCAAAACCCTTGTTGGCAATCACAGAGGTCAGATGTTTCTTGTAGTTGGCCACCAGGTTTGCACTCATCTCAGGAGGGATTTTGTCCCACTCCTCTTTTGCAGATCCTCTCCAAGTCATTAAGGTTTCGAGACTGACATTTGGCAGTTTGAACCTTCACCTCCCTCCACAGATTTTCTATGGAATTAAGATCTGAAGACTGGCTAGGCCACTCCAGGACCTTAATGTGCTTCTTCTTGAGCCACTCCTTTGTTGCCTTAGGTTATTACCATGCTGGAATACCCATTCACGACCCATTTTCAATCCCCTGGCTGAGAGGAGGTTCTCACCCAAGATTTGACAGTACATGGCCCCATCCATCGTCCCTTTGATGTGGTGAAGTTGTCCTGTACCCTTAGCAGAAAAACACACCCAAAGCATAATGTTTCCACCTCCATGTTTGACGGTGGAGATGGGAGGAGCATTCCTCCTCCTCCAACATGGTGAGTTGATGCCAAAGAGCTCGGTTTTGTCTCATCTGACCACAACACTTTCACCCAGTTCTCCTCTGAATCATTCAAATGTTCATTGGCAAACTTCAGACAGGCCTGTACATGTGCTTTCTTGAGCAGGAGGACCTTGCGGGCGCTGCAGGATTTCAGTCCTTCACGGCGTAGTGTGTTACCAATTGTTTTCTTGGTGACTACTATTCTAGCTGCCTTGAGATCATTGACAAGATCCTCCCTTGTAGTTCTGGGCTGATTCCTCATTGAAACTCCACGAGGTGAGATCTTGCATGGAGCCCCAGACCGAGGGAGATTGACAGTTATTTTGTTTCTTCCATTTGCGAATAATTGCACCAACTATTGTCACCTTCTCATCAAGCTGCTTGGCGATTCCAGCCTTGTGGTTGAATACAATCTTATTCCTGACATCTTTGGACAGTTCTTTGGTCTTCGCCATGGTGGAGAGTATGGAATCTGATTGATTGCTTCTGTGGACAGGTGTCTTTTATACAAGCAATGACCTGAAATTAGGAGAACTCCCTTTAAGAGAGTGCTCTTAATCTCAACTTGTTACCTATATAAGACACCTATATAAGCCAGAAATCTTTCTGATTGATAGGGGATCAAATACTTATTTCACTCATTAAAATGCAAATCAATTTATAACTTTTTTGAAATGCATTTTTTGGATTTTGTTGTTGTTATTCTGTCTCTCACTGTTAAAATAAACCTACCATTAAAATTATAGACTGATCATTTCATTTTCAGTGAGTAAATGTACAAAATCAGTAGGGAATCAAATATTTTTTTTCCTCACTGTATGCTGGGCTGGTTTTCTCCATCTCACAATTATGTCTTAAATGTATTAGATTTGTTTCTCATAATAAAACTGAATTACAGTAACATCTATTCATCCATCCATCCATCCATCCATCCATCCATCCATCCATCCATCCTTTACAGACTTGAATGAAAACTCTGAATCCAGTAGATGGTGTTTCTCTTTTATTTAAAAACAGTGCTTCATTACCATTTGCAAAGGATGAAGAAAGACTCCACCTCCCTTGCTTAGAGTTTATAAAAGCCAGCAACATGATCAATAATTTATACACATGGATAATACAAAAAAAAGAATAAAAGCTAAAGAGCTAACTACTCTGACCTTCACAATTCCAGCTACTTGATAATAATAAGAGTAACCCAATGAATACTGTATGGTTTGAAAGCTACTGTACAATATGATACTTGAACAGGGGGTAGGGGAGGGAATAGGATGTTAAGAGATTGCCACAAAGTCCTGGGATGCAGCTACTACTTTTCCAGAGTCAGTCAAGAAACAGGATCCTGGTCAAGTAGCCTGGGCATCCTGGGGAATGATCCAAGGAGAAGGGAGCATCTAATTACAATGCATCCTATGTCCCAAAAGTACCTGGCAAGGAAGAAGTGCAATAGACACTGCACCAAGAGTCAAGCCAGTTCAGGGCATATTAGATCTTTTTCTGACAAACTCCAAGTATTACCAAGTCAGCTTGGGTGGTCAGTAAACTCTCTGTCATCTTGGGACTGCCCTCAGTTCTGCCTCAACTTTTGTCATCATGCCAGGGTCATGCCCCAGGTATTTACAAACAGAACTAAAACAAAACAAAACAAAAACACCAAATTAAATCCCAGAAAGATTACTTTATCACTTATTGAATTCCAGGCAAAAAGAGCTGCCAAAACGGTGACACATCACTCTATTGAATATATAGACTAAATTCCTTCACAGTGGCTTCTCAAAGCAACTGCAAAATGCACTTGAATATTCCACTCCAAAAGAGAGAAAACCAAGTACGAGGCTTCTGATTTTCCTTTAAAGAAGTCAATAATTAATTGACATGAGGCAGACTACAAGTCATAATGAATACTTCAGTGGACGGCTTTAAGAAAAAATAAAAGGGCAGCAAATCTGCTATTGCTAAGGAGTAGGCTGTTACTCAGTTTTCATCCTTTTTAACAGGCAGTGTTTAGTGTGATATATCTAGAAAGACTCACAAGAAGCTTCTTTCTAATTGTCCAAGGTTTGAAGTATCATCTGAACAAAATAACTGCAGAGGACTACAATGTTGCATTGTTTCTCCACCATCATGGCAGTAGGTTCTGCAAATTGAGTGCTTATGAGAATTTGGTTCTTAAAAGGGGTGCCAGGAACACAGTCCAAATCTTATGGTTATATAACCAATCAGGTAGGGAAAACAGCACACTGAGGAAATACCCTATATTAATAGTTTAATTTTGACTACAAGAAGATGGTTTGCCTCATTCACTGGAGATTTAGTTTCATTAGACTGTAAATAAAAACCTTAAAACAGGGTGGGTGAATAGGAAATGGAGTAGAAAATGTTCAGTTGACAATAACATCACCCAAATAGTGTTTTATGCAACAATGAAGCAACAACAACAAAAATCAAGTATACTGGCGTATACTACAATCATGTTTGAAATTATCAGGAGAAAATCAGAATAAAAACACACACATTACATTGGTTATTCACCTTGTCCATTAGGAATTTTGTCTTCCTATTGTAAAACCCATTCAGTCAATACACTCCTAAGCTTCTTCTCCACCCCAGCCCACCCCACCCCCCACTGCAATGGATTCCTCAGATGCTAGCATGCTGGAGAATGACATGCACATTCTATTTCCCAGGCTGCCTGCACACTCCTTTGCAGCACAAGACATATCCATCCCAATCTGGTCTTGAAAGCTGAAGTGTCCTGCTACATTTCTACTAGACATCTGTAAGTGGAGATGGCTGGAAGAGGATTTGTAAAGCCTTGAATTTGTACCACCTATGAAGATGTTTCAACTGTTCTAGAAATCAGAGGGTAAACATTATCTTGCTAAAATTTTGCTTTGTTGCAAAGTTAGTTCAGGCTTTGGAAAAATCAAGAGATGAAAAGGTATTTATAGGAATAGTGTACTTATCATATATTTGTGTTTCACAAAAGAGGCAAATGTTTTGCTCTTTCGTTTTATAGCTAAGGAATTAGACTAGAGACATTTCTTGGCTAAAGATGCCTTGCAGGGCCAGCGATATAACTCAGGTGACAGCCAGGGTGACTTGAGTGTCAATCCAGGAATAATCTGTAAAAGGACTCCACCTTAGTCCTTTATGAGAAAAAGTTAAAATTATGCAACTTGGAGGATTTATCGAGATCCAGGGTTCAATCTTTCAACTGTAAAAAAATATTTAATCCAAGAATTTTGCTAGAGCGCTGCAGATTGTATCTTTTTCTATGTCAACACAAGACTCTTTTTTCACAGTTGTTAATTCACTATGGAACTCTGATGTATCTTATTTGACAGGCAGAAGTAAAATCACATCCTCCTTGAGATGAAAGTAGCTGGAAAATCTTCCTTCCTCATTTCCACAATTTTGTGACAGCTGTAATATTCCTATTCTCTTCTCATTTTAAGCTGGATGTACAAAACAAACTTAGTGACTGTTACAGCAGCTTGTCTTTAAAAAAGCAGCTAACAGTCTAATAGTTTAGTGCCCCTTTGCTCAAACAAATAGACTCTTTCATTAAGATCTCCTCTTTAGCAGTCCACAGAAATCTCTGGTAAGCCACAAGAGAACACAATGGCAGTGGAACTAAAGATGCATGAGTTGTATATGATTGGAACAGTGTACTTATGTGATATTACTGAAGGTTTTCAAATCTCCTTGCCCATTTTGACATCACAAGGCAAAAGATAATAGGGTTTCATTTATCCAATTGCCTATTTTTAGTTGAAATGTCCTCCAATACTACTTTAGTGAGATGAAGGAGCAGGGAATTGTGCTTTTGTAATGGGTATGGCTTTAAAGTTATACTACAGAGGATGGTACACTTGATCATAGCCAAAAGTCTGAGAGATGATGGACTTTAAGTTAAATTTTTAGGGCATCTGCAGGAGGTGTTAAAAATAATAATGGAAGAGTACAAGAATAAAAAGGGATCCTTTATGCTATTCTAATGTCTATGATTAGTGGCAAAATATATAAGAGCCATGGTTTGCTTGTAATCCAATTGCATGCATTATCAATTTACAAGATTTCAGATGGTAGAAGAAGAAAGAGTATTCCAGGCAGATATTCTAGCATGGGACAATCTTCAGGCTTAGAGTCTTCCTGAAGCCCTTTCTCAATTCCAGATTGGCAGTACTGATCCAATTGAGCAGTTTGTCTTCAGACAGGCAACCATTAAGACCGGTTGCAAATCAGAGTAAACATTAATTATGCCTTTATATTATGTTTGAAAATACTTCATTTCCAGATACCAATGCTAATACAAGCATGGTTTCCAAATTAGTGTTATGACAAAAGGAAGAAAAAAATCCCCCCCCCACCTTACTTTTCTAGTCCAGAATGCATTTTTTTTTCTTTTCATGCAATTTTTTTTTTATAACATACTTGCAGGAAAGCTAACTACCTCAGGGTGAAAAAGGAGGATCTTGTACAGTGGAGTATCTTAGAGTATCAGAGTAGCACTGGTGCAAGCTTTTCCCATAATCACTATTCCAGAACCTCAGAATATGTAGATCTTTGCAATTAAACTCTTGGTTTTTCTAAAGAAAAAAAATTCATCATGGCTCCAAATTCAACAGTTATTGTCCCAAACATGCTATTTCATCAGAAAAGAGGGAAGAGTGGGAAGAGAAGAAAACCAAAGCAACGGAATGATTAAAGTAAAGCCATGGTAGAATGGATTAAAAGAATTAAAGATAGGCGTATGTATTTGTTATATGCCTTGTCCTCTAAAACCATTAGATGAAATCTTTGGGCAGCTTTGAGCAGTTTTGTCTTGAAAATTATAAAAAAAATCTTGATGCTGCTGGAGCTGTCCTGAGCCCATAAGTGCCAGCTGGTGATAAAAGAGGAGGGTCTTTGTGTTTCCAACGAGCATGCAGGTTCCAGCTGCAGGCCATCAACATTCCCCCATTCTCCCAATAGAGGGGGCTCTTCCACACTATTCTGGCTCTTGGGCAGAAGACCCAGCAATAATATCTACATATTCCTGACTATGTTCCATTATATTGAATCCTAACAGCCCTCCTTAGCACTATTTATCTCTTTTTGTGTGATTGGTAGGATAAACTATGCATATATAGACACAAAATGCATTATGTTTACCACAGTTAAAAACAAACAATTGAAAAAAAAAGATCAAAAAATGCACAATCTTTGGAACAAAAGAATTAAAGGCAGAAATTTAAAGGAAAATACATATTTAAAGAACATAGTGAGGTATAAAAAAGTATTTCTCTTGTTTTTTTCTTTTGTTTTCCTCCTCTTCTTGCTATAGAGTTCCTCTACTAGTAAATATTGCAATAGCCAGGCCTCATGAACTGGGGGGAGGGAGCTGTCCCACTTGCAGGGGGGCTCATGTCACTTCAGTAAGGGGCAAATCGGCTGTAGCCACCTCGATATAAACTTGCCTGCAAAAGTTGACAAAAACAGAGGAAATTTAGTGGTTTTTTTTTTTTTTAAAAAAAGAACAATGCATATAAGACATTTTTCCATGTAACCCCCCATGTGATTTAAGAAGCTGTAGAATGTCTTCTTTAAAAATATTTCCTTGGACTCCAATTGACCTGATGTGTAGGTGTCTGAAAGCCTAGTCCCATATTTGTCTTCTGGATCAAGAACATTAATGCTAGATTAACTATAGCAATTTTTCTCCATGTTTTTCCTTGAACTGAATTTCTCTTTGTCCCTGCTCTGCAGTTCTTTTACTGTTCTTCTTCCTAGCCAATTTTTAAAATTTAAAAGCATGAACCTCCTGCAAGTTATCCTAAGATTTTTTAAATGCAAATCAGAAGATCTGTAGAAAGACTGCTCTATGATGATAACATTTGAGAATATTTAACTTTGAAAAGGAAAGTAGCCAGGTCAAAGTCTTATTACTCAGCTTGCTAACAAAATCAATGGGATTAATGAACTCCAAGTCCTTCAGCACCAATATTTCCAAAGTTAAAATCAATTGTTGGCTTCATTAGTTTAATTTGTAATTCTTCATTAAAATAAAAACCATAAAATAAAAGCTCTGGATACAAACAAAATAATAAGCCCCTTTGATATTACATGATTGGAATATGGTAATAGATCTCTGACTGTATTTGAGACCAAGCCTGGGAAATCATATTATTTGCAGATTCCACTTCCCATTTGGTGATTTGACCACAGCATTCCCTTTAGAGTGGAATCGATGACTGGTATTAACATTCTCATATCTTTGTCTTACTTTTCTATTATCCTCCTATCAATCCTAGCACTGTTTAGTAATTAACCAGTATGCTGAATACACGTTTTATTATAGAACTTCTGAGATTATTCAACCACCAATACTGTAGTCAATGTAAGTGATCCTCATTTAATGACCATTCATTCAATGACCATTCAAACTTAAGATAGTGCTGAACCAGTAGTTAAAACTGGTCCTTACACTTACAGCCATTGCAGTTTCCTGGGGTCATGTGATCACAATTTGCAAGCTTTGTCAGAACCCCGCCAGCTTCTGACAAAGTCAATGGGCAAGCTGGCAGGAAATTGCAAGTCATAGTCAAGTGAAGTCATGGTTAAGGATGTCAACAGGGACTGTCAGAACTCCCTTTGATAAGTGGCATAGTCATGTTTTGTTTTTTTTTTACTTATAACCATTTTGTTTAATGACAGGATTTCCAGTCCCAATTAACACTGTTAAGAATTACCTGTACTTGATAAAAGTACAAAATCACTAAGGAAGAGGAAAAACCATACATACCACAGCGCCAACTCCGTAGCTAGCTGCAGGGGCAAGAGCATGGTAAGGGTCTGTTGTGTACACCCTGCCGTAACTAAAAAAAAAAAAGAGGGGGGAGTCATTTCAATAAAGTCATTTCAATAAAGGCTTTTGTCATCAGAAGAAATGGAAATGTATGAACTTCCTGGCTCCACCCCACCTCTAATTTTTTTTCCTCCATTATCTAAAGGATTTGTTTAAATCTAAAGAAATTGTTGCATCAATATTTAATTGTGCTAACCCCAAGTACTCATAATTTAATACTTTAAAACAAAAAGGTTTCATTTGAAAAGAAGCACATTTCACATTATGGTAGTAGTGCTTGGGTGTGGGAAAGTTGGCCTATCATAAATATATGTTGAGTTTTATGCTGGAAAGATATCATTTGTGTAATAAAATTTCACGATTTTAGATTGAAAAACATATAAAACTATATAATTTACATTAAAATTAAGGCAGCTGAAATTAACCATCCCTGGGAAATAAATGTGAATCTTGCAGGAAAATGAGGGACTGATCAGGCTCCCCATTTGAAAAACTGCTCCGACAGCATACCAAGTCCTTTTAGGTGAAACTACAGAATTTATCTATTATTGTTGTGGCAATAATACCAAAGAAGACACTGGAAGGTGTTTGAAGATGAAAGTGCAGTAAAAGAATGAAAGCGAAATGTATTATACTTTCATGCAAGGCTTTATTATGTCATTCCTACTCTGTCCTTTGACATAAGACTTATCATTGAAAGTATTTTTACTGGCTTAGCCAGTGTACATAGCCTTTTCAAAGATAGAAAAAGGTTTTCATTCTCTCTATTATTAGCTTAATGACCAACGCACCAAAAGGCAAGACAAGAAACAATGGAGGGAAACTAACCAAGGAGAGAAGCAATCTAGAACTAAGGAGAAATTTTGTAATGGTGAGAGCAACCATTTATCTGAAATAGTATAGATTCGCTTGCTTGAGCAGGGGGTTGGACTAGAAGACCTCCAAGATCCCTTCCAACTTTATTATTCTATGTCCTAATGATTGTGATTCTAGAAAACAATTATGCTAAGCTACACAATAACTCTCAGAGATCAATATGTACAAGTCAATGATGTCTTATTTGTGTGGCCATAGATTATTGAAAAAATACACAGCATAGTATAATTCATCTCAAATGAATTCATTTCTCACAATTTGTAAGCCATTTGCCTATATCCATCAAATCCAGGGCAGAGGACTGGAGGCAAAAAAACTATGAATGGGGGTTATTGGTTGTGCTTGAAAACAGCACAAATTCCCTCCCAAATGCCAGCAGGACTATAGATTGCTATCCTAAAGGCATTCTATTCTGTTTTGCCTATAGACAAGAACAAGGTTGAATGCTGATTCTGATGCATGACTGCAAAGTCCAGCTATCTCTTTTGGAAACATATAAACCTTAGGCATATAACAATTGTTTTTACTCAATATTTCCTAGCCAAAAACATGGAGGTCATGTATTTAGCATTTGCAGCTGAGACATATATTGAGGAATATGAGGAAATGTACTGTATTTTTAAAATGACGTATTCTCCAGAAACATGAAAACCACGTCTTTCCTTACATACCCATCACTGTAAGCTGCTGCAGCTGCTGCAGCAGCAGTAGCTGCTGTTGCAGTAGCGGGCTGCGCATATCTGTAGGCTGCATATCCACCCTGCAGGGAAAAAAAAGAACTGACTTTATAGATATCTTTCTCCTTAAATAAAGTGGAGTGATTTACACAACACAGGTACAGAGGAAATGTTTCAAACTGCATCAGCTCCCATGTCACATTTAATTATGAAAGTATTCCCTGATCCACATATATTTTGCTATCTCCCCAACACATTTCATGATGAAAAGTCCTATATCAATTAAGGAAATCAAATGGAAAAGTCTATACTATCATAGTACTTGTAGGTCAATTTATTAACAAGAATATCAAAAATAAAGATGCTAATACATCTCTTTAGTCCACCCTGATCATAATCACCATAAAAAGTCTACTGCACTGTTACCCACCAGGGCTATAAATTCAAGTCAAACATCTACGCAAGCTAATGTTTACGAAACGAATTCCATATATGGAAGGCACATTAAAATGAACTCTCTAAAACAAGTTCTTTATGTTTCCAATAATCTAAGTACCATCTTCCTTCTTGTATCTTCTGTCCTACAGTCTCTTCCTTGCCAATTCCTTCACATAATTTAGAACTTAATGGCTTTAAATTCACTGCTACATCGTGATCTTTTTTTTCTTGCCAAATTCTCTGTAATAGCTCTTGTCTGATTTTGTATATCAGATTGTAATGCTTAACCTTTAAGAGTCTTCATTTAGCTACATATGGCCTTCCTTTTATTTTTTTCCTATGCCTGGGACATCATAATCCTGTCTTGGTAAAAAACAATCCTCTTCCTTTCTTACATTTCCTACAATGATAGAAGCTGCCTTCCAGTTTTAATTACTTCATAGCTATCATTTATTTTTTAAATAGGAAGACAGTGTGGTACAAAGCAACAGGATCTGTCCTTTTTAGAATGTATCTGGGTTCAAAAGAAAATCTGGACTTAAAAGGAATTATCTAAGAAATCAGAAATGATGGGTGTCTACAGAGGGATTTTTCTTCTTATAAACATTAATGTGCATATATGTATGAGTTGTAAACTTTCTTACTTATTTACTTGGCTCATGTTCACCTTGGCAACCATTTAGTAAATGGGCAAGCTTTCAAAACAGCCATTTTGTGAGAATATTCATAACAAGTTCTCAAAATTACAAATATGCCTGTTTCGTCAATCTTTCATAGAACTAACTTTAGCGGGTCTGTCTTAAACATTAATTCTTTAAGAAGGGACTGTGTTCAATTATTCATATTACAGAATAACCAGTATGTTTTAGCTATTTTATCATTAATATCCAGAAACTTGTTTCCTTTTAATTAGTAGTTCAGCTGAATGCTGGAAGAATGAATTTATGAAACAATCTTGTTTTAGTGCTATACCTATTATAGTGTTGCTTTAGGAATTAACCAGTGCAATCTTTATGAAAAGAAAGCAGATACCTGCACATTTCATTGTAATTTCAGGGCAGAAATATTGTATTAAAGGTAACCAATGCAACAATAACAAGATAATTGTAAAAATCCTGTGCACGGAAATCTCATCTCACTTAACATGTAAGAGGCCTCCACATATTAAAAGTCATGGCAGCAAATAATTATAGTCTTGAAATTATATCAATTAACAATTAGCTATAAAGAACAGTGTTAAACTTTAGAAGACTGGATGTTTTGACAATTAGTAAAAAATACAAAACTGTAAAACTGAATAAAGATTCCTCTGAAACTCAAAAAAACTCCTCATACTCATTCAGTGAGCCAATCTAAATTGGCTTATTGAAATACATTGTTTTACCAGCTTTTTATTTTCTATTATTTCAGGCCCACATGGAATTATCAAGCATAGGAATCAGCCACAAGGGTATACAATTCAGAGAAATACTTTTTCCCTTCCTTAATAGTTGTATCAACCATTAATAGTTGTTTATCAAGTAATTGTAATTAACTTTCCAAGTGCCTGGTTTAATTAATTTTACCGAGTTCTGAAGACCTAAATGTACAGGAGGAGGAATTGGGAATGAAAATGCAGATGTGTTCATGGTATGAAACAGATTTTTCATGATTGCAAACTAAGTATGAACATAGTGTTAGCTTCCTTCTATCCAGCTATTACAGGGAAATCTGTAGCAGTTACTTTTTTATACAGTAATATTGTTAAATATTACTAATACAAACTAAAAAAAAGTAAATTAAAAATAATAAATGCAGAAAGAGAAAATTAGAAAAGAAAAAAAATAAGAATAAGTAAAGGGAAATCTATAGCAATTACTATAGAATATTGAGTCTCCTCTTTCTCAGAAAGAACAGCGACCTTAAAATGTCTATACTTTATAGAGCTCTTTTGACAGAGGAAGGGCAATGATACACTTATAGGGTTCCAAAATTAGCCACCACTTCAAATCTCCTCCTATCACAAAACGAACAACAGTTCCAGTGCTTCTCCTCATAACGGTCTCTATTCTGATTTTTAAAAAGCTCTTTATTTCATTATACTGAGTAATAGTAGCAGAAGAAGAATTTTATTCCAAGGAACTTTGCTAAAACAAAGCTTCAAACACATCGGCTTCCCTTTTCTTGATAAAAAAAATCCAGATTGCAGAACTTTCAACATATCTGATATTCAGGCATGCTCAGATGTATTCATCTTGGTCTTTGGCAACACTGATTGCTGAGCAGCTTGTCTCATAATGTGCCTGGTGTGCTCTATTCCCAACATAATTTTTTAAATTTGACATTTGAGATAATCAGCTGAGTTCAGCCCAACTGTGAACAGGACAAGATGCAGTTTGAAACTAAAGATGTTTTTTTCCCATTTAAGTCATTTTGACTTGCATTTCTTATAAAGAAAAAAAGGACTGGAATTAGGATGGGGAATGGTATAACATTTATTAATTATATGAAAATGAAAATAAAACTAAGCATGCTGACATTTGGAACTAAAAAACAACCAGCAAAGTCAACACATTCAGACTCATATTGGCTAGTTCTATCTATCCCAGCATTCTCTTGGGACAGCAGTTTTGCCCTAGGCTCTACCACAAGCTCAGTGAAGTACACAGCCTCAATTACTAGAGCGTGCAGCCACAACAACCTGCTATTACATAAACAGTCAGTCACCACTGGAGTTAACATTCCAAATCTTAAACAATTCCCATGTACCCCAAAATATAAAAGAAACCTCCCACCCTAGCCCTGTCCCACACCATGAATGTTAATAATCATAACAAGCAGTAACCCATCTGTTATATCAGAGAAGGGAACAGAGACTCCATTGAGAGATTTCGAGCAAGATGTTAACATTTCTCAGCTGACTGCACAATAAACAACAATAACAACAAAAAAGAAAAATAATAATTCATTGGAAAAATGAAGCTAAAAATAGCTGATGGGTATTTTAGGGTAAGCAGGCACTGATACAGATGTGAAATTATTTAGAAAAGTGGATGCTGTATATAAATGAATGATCATTATCTATGTGATGAAAGTTGCATTTTTTTATCTATATGCACAACACATTTAACTGGGTCAAAGAGGAACTATACAAATATCTTAGCTAACTGTGGAAAACGAATTCTACAGTTAGTTGAGATAGTTAGTTAGGTTTAAGCCTGAAGCTAAATGAACTGCAAACTATCAAGGCAGCTGGGTTATCTATTCCTTCTTTTTATATGTCTCTCATTTTATGTTTTTGCTATTTGGCCCCCAGAACCACACAGGGATGCAAAAGGAGCAGAAATAGACTAGAATATATTAGAAATGACCACTCCCACTTACTGGCAATTATGCATTTCTGGCACATGGGATTAGTCAATTATCCAAGGGGAGCAGCTGACAACAGCATGATGTCATCTGAACATGTTCATTAGATGTACATTACATAAAATCAAGAAGTGGAATCAAAACATATTCCTGACAACAGAACATGGGCATTTAATTAAATCAATAGATGCCTGCTTTTTTTTTTAATTGAAAATTTTTATTTTTTAAAACATACAATCATTTATAAAAATACAAAAAAAAAATAGATGATGCCTGCTTGAAAATTTAGCAAGTCAACTTTAGCTAGGGTAAGAAAAAACATAATATGTACACATTTTGCCTCAATTTACAAGAATTTTAGATGTACATGAAACAGATATATAAATTCTGGCATAAGCTTACTCCAGAAAAGATTTTTGAAATGTGAAATTTTAGGGACTCCTAATTTGCCCTGTCAATTTTATTTAAAACTCCATGGAATAAGTCCAAGCTACTTATAATATCCACGGTTTCTGCTGCTTTGACAGAAGACTTGTCTACTAACACTTTTTCCCTCCCCTTCGCTGCCTTCCATCTGTTTTATATTTGCCTGCACCCAATCAAATATTATTTAATTCACTATAGTATATTCTAGAATTTAGCAAGTTTCGTTAATCAGTAAAAGACACAGACCATGACCAGTTGTTTCACATTTATCTATATCTGGACAATAAAAACCTATGTTTCAAATAATATAATCTTCATGATAGATATCCCAATTTTTTAATTATTTAGACGGAGTGTTTCATTTTTCACCTTGAGTGGACTACTTTCTCAAAAAGGCATCATTAGGCATTTGATGACAGATTCTCTTGTCCTATAGGTAAGGCAACCCTGAGGCTCTGTTGCAAATAGAAAGGAGGAAAAGGTTGCTATAACATGGCAGTGATCAAATTATCAGAAATAGACAGATAAAGGGAAGAGCCCTTCACTGCACAGCTGTCAATTTCAATGTGGGACAGTCCAAGTGCTGCTTTAGCCACGGGGGAAGATGGAGATTAATTTCATTCATTTTGTCTGGAATTCATTTAAGCTTGATATGTCTCAAGTGTTGCTATAAGCATCTTTTATTAACCTTTCCCCATCATATGTAGACTTGAAGAGACCTACAATATGCAACAAGTTTCCTATTTGTATTCTCAGCACAATGTATGACAATTACTGAAATAAAATCTACTGCTCTTCACAGTTCTTGTAAGTCAATGGAAATAGCAGGTATCAAGGTAAACTATAAACAAAACTACACCAAAACGTATCTGGTTTTATATATTCCAATAAATGGATAAATAATAAATGATTTAAGTATTTTTTTCAATAATGCAGAAGCTAAACAAAAATGTTAATGGAAAGCTCATGTGACGGGGTCAGCCACCATTAATATGTAGGTCTATCTGTCTATCTACCGGTATCTACCTACCTACCTATCATTTATTGGCCACCCATCCTACCACAGGGTAACAACTCTGGGTGGTTAGGCTAATAATGAGATATTGTCAAGGTTCTTTCTGTGTTCCTAGATGCTCATAAGGTTTAGATGGCTGTGAATTCAGGAACCCTCCATTTCCAAGGAATGTCCATGTCCAGATAAAATTGCATTTTCCCAGGAACAATTGGTGTATATATATTAAGGATCTTCCTGGAGTCATAGTTTTTGCTGAAGGAGCAAATGGCAGCCATGGCATTGAGGGACTTTGCAGATTTATCTACTATGCCTAGTTCACCCCTTCCTGGGTTCAGAAGTCTTTTTCTTGGTCACTTCTAATTTGGACTATTGCAGTAAGTTCTACCTGGAGCTGCTTTTAAAGATTATTTGAAAACAAAAACTGATCCAGAAGGTGGCCTATGTGACAGCTCTATTTCATCAAGTGCACTGGTTATCAGTTGACATCTAGATACAATTCAAGGTGTTGGTTGTCACACATAAAACTCTTTGTAACTCAGGCCTAGACAGCTAAGGAATTTTCCTTTTCCTCTGATTATCTCCTCCCGTTTTACAATAAAGCAGAGAATGAGGAGAGTTGAAACTTTATGCATAGGATGTTGCTTAAAGTTTCTCTTTTTGTTCTCAAATAATGGACTAGGTTTTTTTCCAAGGTGCAAGTTGGACAAAATATGCTTGCTTTCCCATACATGTAGTCAAGACTTTGTCAGAACATTTGTTTCTGGGTGGCAAATATATAATGCTGGAACGGGTGAATTTCTACTTCATTTAATATTTGCAGGTACTGATTCATAAATGCATTTCTGCATCAATGTATGCATCTTAAAAAACTATTATAAATCCTCATATGCTGGGAAGCTTTCCCCTCAAAGTACTGAGTGAACATTAATCCTAAATAAATACTTTTAACACAAGATATATGCTTAGAAATTTTTAAACATACTATCTAATTTGAGGGTTTGGGACAGTAGATTCAAATGCTGAAAACAAAACAAATAAAAATAAAAAAGAGGATCCCACCTATTGTATTAATAGACATAGATTGGAAGTTCTTAAACATAAAAAAGTAAAATATTTCAGAATACACTGAAGAATATATTTGATATATTTACAGATATATATATATATATATATATATATATATATATATATATATATATATATATATATATATATATATATATATATAAAAGAATTCCTCTTACTGTAGCAACTAGAAAATTACCCTGTGGTCATAATAATTGCTACTGACCATGTATTTGATCTGTCAGCATTTATCCAGGAAAGACTAGGTCACACAGAAAATGTTTTGAGAGCACTATTTAAGCTTAAGCCATATTCAGATGCAAGATTTAAACTTTCCCAGGAGACTAAATTTAATTTAAGAGAGTCTCTTTATATCCAGATTGTTACACTTTTGGCTGCATCTCTGAGAAAGCAGAGTTCCAGTATTATTAGCAAAAAATATTCTGCCACACAATAAGGGTGTAAAAATTGCAGAGCACGCTTATCGTTTTGTGAAAACACTCCAAAATATTCACCATCCTAGTGCTTGGAGCTTAGCAGATGGAAAATGAAATAGGGGAGATGTCCCAGTTTTTCCAATAGAAGAGAATATATGGAGCTCAAGGTTGAACTGTGGAATCCTGGGTGCTCCCTGAGTTTGCAGAGATTTCATTATCTAACAAGGTAACATCATGAGTGCTAGAGAATGTAGGGTTTGCTTCCTGTTTACATATAGTAGCTTCTCCTGCCAGTGTTGGTAGAGGTATTATTTTCTCCTTGGTAATTCCAACTTGATAGAATTGGCTAATGAAACATCTGCAAATAAACAGTCAAGCTCAGAGAGCACAAATATATACAGCTTTTATTCTATAGCAAGCAAGGTTTACATTTTCCCTTTGGTTTGGTGATATGATGGAGAGTTGGGGAAAGCATAGCTTGCAATCTCACAGAACTGAGCTCCACATGTTAGCTGGTCTCCATTAGGAGCTTTCTATGCTGGAATCTCTCAAACTCAGTGGACTTGCAAGCTGGGGAGAAAAATGGATCCAGAGTCAGAGTTCTCCATTCAAGACTGAGGTCCAGAGTCTACACATCTGTTTCAAAAGTTTAACTAGTAAAGACCTCTACTTTTGTTCTGTCATTATCATGACACGCTACATTCTGCCTCTTGTTTAGAAGCTGGTATCTTGACACTGCTTATTATTGAGATTTACTGTATTTCAAAAAATAGTTGAGAGTCAATGATTTCAGTGTTTTTTTAAATACCCTGCAATTAATGTGTTCACTTCTGTGCTTCTCTACAATAGGTTATTTATTTTTAAAAGCAGAAAGCATAGGACTAGCATTCCAAAGCTTTCTTTCAAGAAGGCTAGCATATATAAGCTTCTGAGAAAGTATGGATAAGAAATACACAGACAAAAAATAATAATACATGTTTGTATTGCACTTGTCACATACACAAAAATTTCTCCTAGTTTGCTACCTATGTTTCAAAAACCTTCCTATATATTATGGGATTTGTGCAGCACTGAGGCAAATGAGAGTTTTGATTACATGTTCACAAACATATCTTGGCCTTATATTTTTCTTTTTAAAAAGACTCTGTTCCCATCTCTAATTGAAACTGTTAGTATTAATTCATTTTTTTCCTTTATCCCACTGCAATTCACAATCTGATTGGTTGGCAGGTCACACTGGCACTCCTACCTGAGGTATTTTAGCGCTAATGATTGGTTCCTGTAAGACTATTCTATAACAGAACACAGGAAGAGCAATTCAAAAACACAGCTGTTGAGGGAAACAATCACACACACACACAAACACAAAAACCCAGCAAAGGGCTTACCAGCCTTTTCTTTCCTTAGGATGCAAGCACATGTTTCACCCAAAGGTTTGGCCCTTTAGGATGACTGCTTTTGTGAAATAAATAAACCACACTAGTGGAAGCTGTGATCAAAGCTGTTACTTCCCACACCTACCCTCTGCACCCTGGGCCTGCATTTCTAATGCCAGGGAGCAATAAATCTTTAGACTGAAAATAAAATAGTTAGGGAAGTTTGCCCCAGAAAAAAAAAGGAAGACAAGGATAAGAAAATGATAGAAAAGCAAAAGATGAGTGGAACCTGAGAGGACTGTTTTCTCCTTCTACCTTCATATCATCTCAGTTCCATACGTTGCTATTAACTGAGTTTCATGAGAACAATTTCTTTTAAACCTTCCTTTATTCCTGCTTTTAAGAATGCTTTCTTCATTTCTCCCACAATAGTGACTTCCCCACAGAGGCGAGAAAATGAATTGCTGGTGAATTATTATGGAGAAACAGCACCCATTTGATACATGCCAATTAAAACAGCAGAAAACACATGGCTTATGAGTCAATGACCGAGATGTCACTATTATTGTTCATTTCACTTAGCAATGAAAACAATGGAGAAAGTTTGGTTCATCCACCTTGAGAGAGATTTATTCTTACCAGTCTCAAAGAATGACATATCTATTTAAATATTTTTTAAAATTATAATTTTAAACCTTAAGTAAATATCAAGGATATTTTGTAATAGGGGACATTGTGCTAGAGCTGGGGAATTATCCAGCTGTATACTTATTATTATATTGCATTAAAGCACAACTCAAGAGATGTCCTCCATTTGTTTATATTCTCACTGCATCTCCTCTGTATAAAATAATAATTCAGCAGTGCTGGGGGAAAGGGGAACAATAGTTATTTTTTTTCTATACAAATGACATAATGAAATCTAAACAAGATAGAAAAGTGCACAAGCAATGCCTACAACAACTTGAAATAGAATTATAATAATTCTTTTTATTAGGCAGAATATCTCCTAATTTATTGTATCAAGCTTCTGCAAGGGAAATATCTTTTTAAAACTGATAAAAACTTATCTAGAAGCAAGAAAAGATTGTCCCACATATGTCTTTTAAAATGAAATAACTTCAATAATAAATATATTACATCACAAATATATCATCACAAAGATCCTGTCTGTTCTTTTCCAGTGACATCATAATTAGAATTATATTTTAAATTTAGTGAAAACTTTGCCATTTGGTATTTTAGCTTATCTAACAAATTTATAAAGTATTCTTTATTTATTATTCTTTTGACCACCAAATATCTACAGATTTCTAGGTAGTAAATAGATAGTTTTAGCTGCCTATATGTTGATTTAGAGCCTGCATTTGTTAAATTCTAAATCTTGCCTAATTTGAGGACTTCTGTATGTATTGGACTACAATTCCTATAAATCCCAGCCAGCATGGCCATGGCCAAAGTCAGTGTAATTTGGAAGGCATCAAAAGGGAAAGCCAGGTATAAGGACTGCTGTGAAGTAGACCAGCTGATTGAGGAGGTACAAGAAAATACTCTTTCAAAGCCATTTTTTTTTGACCCAGGGGAACAAAGTAAGGACATGATATATGCATGATCATCTTTAGGAGATAGTGTCAAAATGCTAACCAAAACATCTACTATTTATTTATTTATACTTGGGTATAATATTTAATATGTTATAAAAGGCCCATAAATTCACCTATATATGTTTGTGGACCTTGAGTTCCCTTAGATTTCAATCCCTATATAAATTTTCAAAGATCTCAAGAAAAGAAAGAAATAGATAAAGAAAAGGAAAGATCTGAGGCAAGATCAACCTTTTTATTTTGGGTAACCAAATTATGCCAATTAAAAGGGCAATGATGGAAATTTTAATTTGCTAATTGTATCTTAGGCTGATTAGAACTGCACAGTAACTTTGTGAGAAGAATACTCAGTATATTGAACCTGGCAATGGTCAAAAAACCTAGCTCAGGTTTGCACTGAGGGTTAAGTGCAATAACAAGAAACATGCTTGCATTCTTTAATATATAATATGTGTGTGTGTGTGTGTGTGTGTGTGTGTGTGTGTGTGTACGTATGTATATATGTATGTATGTATAGGGAAGAAAATTAAAGAAAATTATATTTTGAAACACAATATTAAATCAAAAACATCATCATCAACAACAACAAGAACAGCAATAACAACAATAAAAAAAAGGCTGGCTTGTCATGGGTTGGAGATGAGAAGGCTCCAGTGTATGTACTTACATAGAGGTCAGCACCGTAAAATCCGTCCTGGTAAACCACACTGCAGAAAATCCACACAAAAACAAAACAAAACAAAACAAAAAAACAAACAAAAAAACAAAAAAGAACAGAAAACACATTCCGGTTATTGAGGACGGCAGCATGCACATGCATTTTACACAGGCGGGTGATGTATGAATCCATAACCTGGGCTTTTGGGCAGGAGCAAATCAGCAGAGTTTGTGTTTGCGCACGCACGCTAGACAGCTCCATATCATCTTCCATGGCATGCAGGCGGGCAGAAGGGCAGACAGTATGCAAAGGGGGGATGGGGAGAAAACAACCTTTATGCTGTACAATAGAGTGTTGTTGTTGTTTTTTAAAGAAAAAAATATCAATGTTTTGAAGAAGAGAAATACAACTTGAAAAACCTCGACTTTAGTTATTAACCTGGAAAGGCTTTAATTAACCCTCTAAACAAATGAATCAACTGCTTTCATGTGGGCTCCAAGTAGAACAAGCAAGGTCATTGGGAGTAGTTCATCCAGTGCTGGGGTCCACCTAGATCAAAAACACACCAAAAGTTGTGTACTCATCTGCATCTTGCAGCCTTGTGTGATCACTTCTGATATCCATACATCACCTATTTTGTTTTGTTTTTTTAGACATGCAATAAATTTTGGCTGATCACACAAGCATGCAAATTATTATTATTTAGCGTCTAAAAGTACTGATTCATCCTCAGAGTAAAAACCCCGAATCATTCAATTCTGATCAAAGTAAGCAAAAATAAATCTAATAAAAATACCCACAATGCATTGCTTTCACAAGCAGAGATCATGAACTAAAAGGGTTAGGCAATTGATCCAAGGCTGCAGAACTGGAAAAATAAGAAAGGGGGTTCCCTGGGTGGATAGCAATGATACATTCTGCAGAGACACCAACACCTAGCTCCCTTTCAAATCTAACAGCTACTAAATAGTTTGTTCTAGCACATCCAGAATGAAATGAACTGTGAAATTACTACAACTTATTGGAACATTTCATAGAGTAGTATGCTTTATGTTGATAGGGCAAAAGATAAGGGAAAGATAAGAAAGGAAAAGAGAGCTTGCCACAGCCCTGGTTATGAATGCATGCTTTACACAGCTTTCTATAACTTTAATCATTTGATAGATGAATGCTAAATCACTCATATTAAAAAGCATTAGTTCCCCATATATGAGAGCCTTGTGTATATGTATCTGGCTTACCAGTTAATGTAATCACAGGCTAGGAGACAATATTACTTGTAATTTTTTTCCATATGCCAACTGGAGTGCAAAATGATGCCAAGCTTCTCTCACACTGATCAGAACACACCCACCTATAGGAAGTTACAAACAACAAGGCTAGGATAGCTTGGCTATAAATTTGCTTTATAATCATCAGATTTCTACAGTGATGCAAGCTTAACTTATTAAACTAATCATGCAGAATTGCACTCCACTACAATTTTAAACTACAAAAACATAGCTGATAAGCATAAATATACTCAATGAAAATTTACTGTAGGAAAGTGATGTCAATTCAGCAGAGTATGCCATTTATAATATTGATTACAGTGGGGAGGCAAAAATGGGGATCTTTTTTATTGGGGTGCTTTGAATTTATAAATCCCATATTGTAAAATTGGTAAGTTTGTAAGATGAATTTCAGGTTTTGAAGCTTACATAAACACCTCTTTTCTTGCTGTTAATCACATGGAGAAATATAAATATTTACTTGTATTGAGTACGAACCACCAAACCAAATTGGTACTAGACCATAAGGAAGTCTATTCCTTTCCTCCTCATCTTTTAATTATCATTTTATCTGGATTGGGACTTCCCTTTATAATAATTTTATTACAAATATTATAATAATAAATATTATAAATATTATAAATTCTATTATAATTTTATCTGGATTTGGACTTCTATTTTTATTGTTTTAGAGATATTTATGTTATGATTTTAATGTTTTACACTGTAAGCCAAACAGTCATTTTGTTATGAGATGAGCAAAAAGTTAATAAATAAAATTTAAAAAATATTAATAAAATAAAATAAAAATAAATATATTGAAAAGAGTTAAATATCCTGAAGATATTTAAAGGGTTATCCTGAGGATCATTTTTGAGAGCAGATTATTAAACTATCTTCAACTGAAATATTCAATTTAAATCCCATTGCGGTTCAAAAAAAATGCAAAACTCCAATGAACTAGGTTTCTTTTCTAGGAATACTTTGTTACTATAAGGAATAATTAAAATTTTAGTTGGAAGTTTATAACTTACTATATCTGGGTAGCAACAATTAGGCATTAAATGGTACCCCATGAATGCTATGTAATTCATGGAAGCTATTCTAATGAACATGGAAGCTATTCTAATGAACAGCAATTCTACCTATGCAAATCATGGAGAATGCTGCATGCAGATACATGTTACTTTATGTGGTAGAACCATAAAATATATTTATATAAACAATTGGAGAAGGGGATATACAGAAAATAACTATCTAGTAACTGCCCAGTGTTTATAGCCATGCTACACTGTTCGGTTATTAGGATTTTATGACAGATCTAGCATAATCTGGAGTATTTCAGCAAATAATCCCCCCTATTAATATATAATTCTAATTAAAAGAGGAGTGATCAGTATCCAACTGTCTCTTGGTATTTTCTTTTCTGCTTAGATTTGTTCCAAGAAAGACTAGAATCTAGTTTTTCATTTTTAATACAAATGAAATGTTAGAATTAAAACTGACAACAGAGATACTGAAATCTTGTCAGTCTTGAAAACATGCTTAAAATAATAAAACAACAATGCCTTTGGAATGATAAGAACATCTTACTGCTGTCATGTTACTGAAACTTTTAAAATCTAAGGAAACAATATGTTGCTTATCCTGGTTTGTTTGTTTTTTATTCTAGTTTAAACAAAAACTACTCTTCATTATATGTCTGCTCAATCTTTGTTTAACCCTTCTCAAAACATCTCTAATCAAGAAAGCAAATCCATTGTGGGTAACTGTTCTGTTCTGACCAATTTACAGACATTGTATGATGAAGCTAACAAAAAATGCTTGTCAGTCCAGGTAATTCAATGAAATTGGACTTCAGCGAACAAGAAGTGGCCTCCCTCCACAGACTCTACACCTTTTAGGAAACTCTTTTTATAAAAATGTTCCTCCATTATTTCCAGATTATTTTGTGCTGCCAAAATATTGTTACAAGCTACAATTGGCACATTATTTTTGAAAACACTTTTTTTCACTGTTGCCTTGCCAATTTAATGAAACATTCTTTCTGGTCATAAATGTAAGTTTTAGATTGCCTTTCTCAAGTATGATGTAGTGCAGAGTGTTATAGGATTGGCACCTCCTGTCCCTATTTTCAATCCATTGAATGTCCTATTCTGAAGATCCCTGCTGGATAGTTTTCCATTCTTACCCTGGGTAAGCTGGGATGGCTGTTGGAGGTACTGCTCGTACCGCACCATACACTGTCCTTCCTCGTCCTCTCAGATGGGCTCCCCTAAATGCTGCCGCTGTGGTGGCTGCAGTTGGGTAAGGGAAGCTGGGTACTGTGAAGACAGACAGACAAGGAAAAATATGAGAAGAATCAGTTCCTCTGCCCAGTCAATTACAATCACATTTAACTAGGCTTATGCACAGCTCCAGAGAGGTGGGATGTTCTGCACCTGTCCTGCGAAGGAGCATGCTTAGAGCTCTGAAGCCTCACATATCTCTTTCTATGACATGATCTTGAAGGAAAGGTAGGGTTGCAGAGAGGCCTAACATGCAGGAGATTAACATTGTGTCATGCCTTCATCACAAACTGCAAACTGTTTCCCCTTTTCCTCCACCCCATTGTGATATTGCCATGCAGTCTGGTTAGAAAGTCTGAGAAGCACATAGAGTTACTACTAATACAGGCAGGTAATAACTCTTCTATTTACTTGGAATGGGAATGCTTAAAATGCTTTTTTCATAATAAGCTTAATCTTGGGAATTTTGTGTGTGCGTGTGCATGTGCGTGTGAGTATTTCTCCTTCCAACTCAGTTTTTTCCATCAGATGTCATTTAAATATAAAACAAACAAAACATCCTAATGAAGGCAGCCATAATTAACGAAGAGGTTTATCAAGTTTACCAAGAGCCTACCTTCTGGCAAAGGTGACCATTAAGTGGTTCATCTATATTGGGCCCTGTTTTATTACACATCATGCTGGAGTAAACTGGCCCAGGGCAAAATGATATTGAAACCTCAGAAGGTGGCTGGGAACACAATGTAATAAAGGGATACTTAGATGGCACCAGTCAGTCACAAGGCAAAATGAACTCAAGGTGCTTCTAAGAGCATGCCACAAGGGGGCTTGCAATGGACTCACAGTTTAGTAGCAAGAATAACATGTACTTTGGAGTGTGGCCTGTTACATTGCTAAAGCCAAGACAATTGGATCTTCCACTCCCTCCCATACAGAGTAGCCTTAGTAGTAGAAGGCTTATAGTAGCCTTATCGAAGAAACCCCAGCCATAAACAGGCTTGTAAAATGCATTGCAAGAAGGGATGAATCATTCCCACTGCTCAAAAAAGTAGCATTTCTTTCTACTGAGGCCCATCCTTTCAAGTACATATTATACAAACTGGAAAGAAGAGGGCGAACAGATCACTGTTTACTCAAGCACAGTAACAATACAGGGGCCAATAGGGGCTACTTACTGATTAAAGGAATGTAAGTGTTAATACCCCCCCTTCCTGACAGGGGCACTGCAGCGTCATTGCCCAGCGAGACATCTGCTTGAAAACTGGATGCTAATTTAATTTTAAAAAGAATAAAAAATGTAAAAAGGTTATAAAGAAACAGCAGATTGAGAACATAAAATCACCACTGCAGTCAAATGGCAGAAATAGAAGAATCAATATTAAATTCTACCTGCATATAATTCAGGTCCATATACTGCTCCAACTACAGGACTCAATTTCCAACCTGAAAAAAATAAAAACAGATGTGAGCAGCTAGACTTTCCATCAGTGAGGTAGCAAACAAACAGGTATATGAATACAGATATAGTCTATCTTCTAGTAATTGTTACCTCACTTCCATACAGATTGTTCCTAGGCATAAAAACAGGCTACATTTTCCAGATTTCTTGTGTTCTGGACATAAGTGGAGGAGAAAATACAAATCACTAATGCTTTCTGAGAAATCCTTCCCACAGTCTCAAAATGAAGCTTACACTGCATTGTGGTTTTTCTTCCTTTCCTTTTTAAAGTCTGTGGTTGTAGTGAAAGATCAAATGAAAAATTTGAAGCCACATAGGAATGACTGTGTTATTTATGAAATTAGAACCTCAGATCTTTTAACATATCTCTGAACATTAATTAAGGAAAGGTTCCACAATACTGAGGATACTGGTGAACGTTTGAAGGGAATGAGAGGAATGCCTGTCTTAGAAGTCATCAGACATCCACCCAAATGGGAAAGGACCACAACCAAAGAACATATTTTAAATTTGTGGTGTGCAATTCTTAGGATTTGCCCAGATTATATATATTTTCTTCTTTTGAGGGGGGGGGTATCAGAATTTTATTTAATATGTGCTACTGTCACTGCTAGTGACAATAAATGTTATCTTATCTTGTTTTATTTGACCTTGATAAGGCAGATGCATCTGCTAATCAAGAGACACTTTCTATTACTTTCTCTATCAAGACAATGAAACCTATAAAAAACAGTAGCTAATCAAGTTGAGACTCAATGAAGTCTTCTGCAAAGTGAGTAGAAGTGATTTGAGCTTCAACTGAGGCAAATGAATACTAGAAACAATATTTTAGAGATTTATATGAATATGATAATGGCATGAATGCTATAAATGTTATTGCCAAAAATAATAAAAACAAAATCATAAAAAAGTATGAGACTGTTTAAAAATGGTAAAAGTGCAAGTATGAAACCAGAGAAATGTTAAAATGTGGGTGTGGCTTATTTATGAAGTGGCAGTATATGTTGTTTTAATGCAGACATGTCAAACTCGCAACTTCACGTGACATCACACAATGTATCGGAACTTTTTTCCCATTGCCGAAAATGGAGTGGGCGCGGTTTCGTCATGGGCTGGCAGTTTGACACCCCTGTTTTAATGTATTGGTGAAGATCACATCTGCACCTAACAATTAGACCAGTGAGATTATGCTCCCTTATACAGATGAAAAGGTAAAAAGAGTGAATAACAAAAATTACAAGAAAATTAGTCTATCAAATGTATCTTGGAATGGAAAACTGCTTGACAGAATTCTCACTGAAAGGGTAGCTAGAGCTGACAAGGAACAAAATTAGTGATGTGACTTTATATTGGGCAGGTAGGGTGTGCACTAAATTTTTGTTCTTTAAAATGTCATTTTAGAATTGTATGAAGGTGAAAAAGATTTAGAGAAACCATATGACAAAGTGAATAGGCTTTAATTATGGAACATTTTGTGTGATGAATTAGAAGAATGGTTGCTTAATGCAGTAAGAGTGCCATACAATGAAAGACTTAACATGCCTGAAAATAAATGAATTGCTTAGCAAATGGTTCATCATCAAATAGAGTATAACCATCACCTTGCTTGTTTAATGTTTTCATGGATAATGTACACTTATAATGTTGAGCTGTTTGGAGATATGAATGTGTGTAGTATGCAGACAATGCCATGTTGTTAGTCACGAACCAAAATGATTTGCAATAAAAGTTAGATCAAATGTATGAGGTAGAGAAGTGAACAGATTTGAAATTTCTGAACAATGAACAAAGGAGCTCTGTTTAACAAGGAAAATGAATGAGTAATTACAAAAAATACAGCAAATAGAGGAATGAATGCTCCTTGGAAGAATGTTTTGTAAAAATGCGGAAATGGTTGGAGAAATTTTAAGATGTACGAATGCTGACAGACAGATGGTAGAAAGCACATGTCTGCTGAAAAGAATGAAATTTGTAAAAATAAGTGAAAATGGCTATGTGTGGGAGTAATCTTCTGCGCACTTGCTATGTAGAAATGAGAGTTGAGTATATGAGGAAAAACAAATTAAAATGAATACAGTAGGAAAGGGTTATTTAGAAAATATGTGCTCTGTAGTGAAACAGTCAGTCAAGAATGAACAAGTAATGAATTAATGTGGACTGAGTACAAAAGTGAGTAGATAATGCAAAAAAATAACTCTGAGAGTGATTTGGCATTACAGAGAGAATGAATAAGAGCTGAATCATAAAACAAATATATGAAAGAAGAATTAATTTGTTGAGAGGAAGGGGAAACTGAAGAAATATATGGTTGGAAGTTGTCAAAAAGAACAAAAAAAGGAAAAGGTGAGAAATGAAAGAAACAGAGGCATTACATGAGTCGGTAAATGGACAAGATGGAAGCAAGAATAGTTTGCAAATATAAAGATATGAAGGAATACAATGAATGGTGTTTGTATAATGTAGATTTAGTTAATTTCCTTTTACAATTATCTTATAACTTTAATTTATTTTGCCTTTCTTCTTTTTCTGTATTTTATGTGATATTGCTACCCTAAAGGAGAATAGCATGATAGGTGTGCATGTATATTGGCAAAAGCAAATTGTGCAGATACAGGTAGTCCTCGAGTTGCGACCAATTGTTTAACCATTGTTCGAAGTTATAATAACTTGGAAAGAATGCTTTATGGTCCAGCACTTAAAGCTCAGATCTTTGGGATCCCAACTTTGCCACTCCAGCCCAGTGAATGAGTTCCTTTTCGCACACTCCTTTGAGTCATCCACTTAACTATCAAAACTAAAAGAGCTGGGATCATAGTCATTGAACAAAGTAGTCATGTGGGCATCTCACTTAATGACACTTCACTGAGCAACTGAGATCCCATCACAATAGTCGAGTACTATTGTGTAAGTCGAGGACTACCTGTAGCTTTCTTTTTAAATCACAAGTTGACTATTCTTTTTCCTATGATTCATCAGTAGAAGGCAGCCTCCCTAAAAATGCAAGACAAATGTAAATGAATGTAAGTGCATCCTTTGTCTATCTCTGTTAATCACTTCCCATTTTAAAAGCACCCAAAACCCCTCTATCACTTGTGCATACATATCAGTTAGAGCACAGTCACTATGTATCAATAATAGTGGAGATATCTATACTGGTCAATTCTCTCCAATTCATTAGAAAGTTACAAAACCAAATTTTTAAAGTGATTTCCTAAAGCCAAAGTATTTCATCCATATTTAAGGGCTCAAATAAGTGCCCTGTTTCTCAAGATATTTTCAAGAACTCTTTTTTACCTCTTAACAATCTGTTAGGTATTTCAATTATCTGTATCTATAAAGAAACAATTTTCTCAAATTATTCTGAAATACCAAAGGGAAACTTAATTCTTATGCCTAAAAAGGTTCCTCCATTCATTTCTTAGCCTTGTCACTTTGTCTTACCGTTTGCATAAGGTGTGACCATCTTCTTATTAGTCATTACTCGTGCAGTGGCATTATTAACCTAAAAATTAAAAGGGAAAGGGGAAGAGAGGGAAGGAAGAACAACACTTTAGAGAAAATGTTGGAAATCTTTCACAATTTTTTTAGACAAAATACTTTTTAAAAATCAGCACAATGAAATTTACTTTTACAGATTGTCTTTATATATTATAATTATAAACATATCTAATTTTTTGTATTTTAATTATGCATCAAAGAAAAGGCTAAAAAGAGCAGATTTTCTCAGGCATCCCTGCCAGCTTTGACTTCACTATTTGATGCTCACTAGTTCAGGGGCAAAATCTCTTCCATTGCTATTTTTTTGTGTCCAGTTTGACTGGCATGAAACAGAAACAAAAATAACCTTATCTGATCCATTAGTAGACTTTCATTGAATTGCAGTGGTCTACTAATATTACAAAAAAACCTCTGCTGCAATTTGGGCAGAAGAACTATCCCCAGGTGTCTGGGATTAAGCTGCTTTTCTACTAAGGGAATTTGCATTCCAGAGCAGCACTGCTTGGCCTGTATCTCAGTTTTGGAGTACTGTATCTTGAGAGGCCATCAACCTAGCTGCTGACTTGTCAGGAGAAAAATGAACACCACTAGAAATGTATGAAGTGTCTCCTGATTCCCCCCCCCTTTTTTTTTAGCCTCCTTCATTGTAACTACTGAGCTGTTCATTGCTCAAGCTTTCTAAGCACTGCAAATGAATGTTGCAGCACAGATGATGCTAGTAAAACACTGGTGGGGTGGGTAAAGCTAAACAATAGCAACCCTGTGTCAAACATAGTCACAGAGTTTGCAGAGAATGAAGGTACAGGTAGAATCAGTAACTTTTCAAAATCCTGCTCCCAATGGAAGAAAAAGCCTCATGCAAACTTCAAGATCAAGAAAAGGATGGTTCAAAGGCCCTCTGAACTTTAAAACAAAAGTGAGCTTGGGCAGGGAAGAAGGGAGCCTGGAATCTCAACACTCTATTTTTAGCCCTCCTGACAGCCCACCTCCCCATATAAACATTACACATTAAAAAGGGGGGGACAACAACAATGAGACTGAAAGCATGCTGTTAAAACACACATAAAAAGAAAAACAACAATTGATTAATGGGGATAGGAAGAGGTCTCACAGACAATCATTAAGATGGAGCAAGTGCCTGAAATCAACTGCTACAGCAGAATGCAATGCAAGCACTTAAAGGAAAAATGGGCAAAACCAATCAGAAATCACCAATCAGCAAAGACCAACAGCTGTATTTAACTAAGTGAAGAAAAATGGCAAGTGAGGAAAGGAGAACAATCATAGGTCCAAAGATAGGGAATGCAGAAAAGACATGGTGGAGGGAGGGAGGAGATGGATAGGCAAAAATGAAAAGTGTATGGGTGCATTAATAAAACCAGCCAAAACTGGAGTTCAGTAAATCTGAGTAAGATGTGCAAGGAAAATTATTGGAAAGCCAATAATCAAACAGCTCAGACTTAAACAAAATGGTATGTACATCCAAAATCCAGGTGGCATTACTCAAGAGCATTGAAAATAAAAGGGTGGGAGAGAAGAAAAAGGAAAGGGAGGGGAGACAACAAGTCAAATCACATTTTGTAGTGTTAATGTGAAATGGCAGATGGATTTTTTCTTTCTTATTTTTTTTTTTTTGTTTTGCATAAAAGAAAAGAAAAGAAGTAAGCTTCTCCTCTAGCACTTTGATTTCACTTACCGCCAACTCGTACCATCGCCAGCATTGTGTATAGTTACCATGGAAAGAGTGAGTCAAGTGAAGGGCCCTAAACACTAAACCATTAAAAAGGGAAATAAAACAAAAACAAAACAAAAAAACAAAACAAAAAAGCAAAATATGCAGACATCTTACTCAAAACGGCGGCTTTAATTTTTTCCTTATATTTAGTATTTTTTTCCTTTAAAAAGAAAGAACAAAAAGGGGCCAGTTAGCCTTCTATATGAGGGAACAGCAAATTCATCACTAAGATGTTACCTCTCATCTAGGTAACCCAAACAGTTTCTGCTTATCACACTCTATACTCATTGGAATTAATTATGGGATGCATATTTCTTAATTTGAAATACATTTACATAGATATTTCAATGGCTCAAGTTCTTCCTGATTTCTCCATCCATCCCTTCCCAATATATCATTTTCACACTCATATGGAGGAAAACTGGCCTCTGAATCAAGGGCAGATATTGGCTGCCCCCCCCTTCTTTCTTGTTAGATACCAAGTGACAAATGGGACTGTGCTCATTTTGTTAGTTTTGATCTGGCTTGGAAGTTGAAAGTCGGAGCCTCATTAACTGAAGCAAAGGAAAATCAAGACAGCAGAAGGGCAAAAAATTTGGAGTGTGTTGGAAACAAACTTAAGAGAAAGGAAAACAAAGACAAAGAAAAATAACAAAAATAACAAAAATATATAAATATATATATATATTGGGAGGTTATTTTATACACTTCAGTGCAGGGGACGGGAGTGAAAAACACAGGACACAAACACACACACACGCACTGGACAGGAATCCCAATGTGAAATCAGTGAGGCAAGACACAAAAAGGAAACCAAAGAAGAAATATAAAGAAGAAATTGAATTACTGAAGACATGCACCTCGATTTTACGGCCCTCTACCACGGTGCCGTGTAATTTCTCCCTGGCCCTGTCTGCATCAGCACTATTCTCGAAAGTTACGAACCCGAATCCCTGCATGCAGCGGGAGAAGGGGGAAAACATGCACATCGTTATATATTGAAATACCGATATCTAGATAAATAGAGAAAAAAATATCACAGTATGAAATTGACATCAGCACAACTTAGCAATACTCTCCTAGAGTCACATTTTTGGTTCATGCATGTTTCATGAAAGAATTTCAATTAAAAAAATAACTTTAATCACATTGAAAATAATAAAAACATAAAAGCAATTGAGGCCAGACCAAAAAAAGCATAGTTACTCGAGACATATTCTAAAAAATAAACTAGCTCCAAGATTGATCAAATGCAATGAATTAAAACATGGAAAGAAATCTTGCCATAAATAACTGTTCATGTGTTCTCTTTTACAGCATTCTCAATAATTTCCTTTCATATGACAAGGACAGGCACAGGAAGATGCTCTGAAGAAAATCTACCAAAAGGAGGAGTGATATGTGTGACAGTTCTAACTGGACTATTATTTTTAGGAATAGTATTAATATATATGTTTTCAACAATAAACAAATATATGGGGGACAAAAAACAAGTGTGTGTGTTTATGTGTCACATTATATGTAGAATTTTAACAATGTCTTGGACATCTTTTCTTCTGTCACACTGTTTATCTTAATCCCTAGGTTGCTTATCCCTATTAACAGTAGTTATTAACAATACCATAATATAGGAACAGATACTCTGGCTCACTGAAAAAAAAATCCTTAATCCTTATTAGGCATAAAGCATAGCCACTTCATACCTAATAAATTGTTTCCATGCTTGGCTTCTTCACTCAAAAAAACACTAAGTGAAGCATTGTTTTTCACAGTTTGTTGAAGCTTTATGTTCTAGAATTAGTGCTTTAATGAGGTTGAACAACACTTTCTAATGGAAGAGAACAAAATTAAATAGAGCACATCATAAAACAATACAGTCTAACGACTTAGTGTAAAAATGGAAAGATTGCTTCTTTGTTCAGCTTGTTTTTGAAAGTTTAGGATTTAGTTAAGGATCCAGATTGCTTCTTCATCCAAGCAATAAATAACCTACTCCTACTTAACTTTAAAAATGCCTCAGTAAGTGCTTCAGTCACAAAAATGTATAGATTTCCCTTAATAAATGCCAAGGTAAAATGCCACCAGTTATGAAACATAGTTAATCATAATCTTTGCTAATTTAATTGCTATTAAGACAGAAATATTTATCTAATCGAGGTTCTAATCTACATAAGTCTTTTTTCCCAAAGTACAAATATATTCAATTGGATTTATTAACAGACTCATATAATCATACTACAATAAGACATTTAAGATCTAACCCTATATTTATTTTCAAGAAACAGAAGTATGTATGCTTCATGTAATAAAAATATGCAGTAGCTGGATAAATATTTTCAGATAGAGGAAAAAGTGGTAAGTACCTCATGCTTTTTAAATTGATCTTGAAGGTATTGTAACAAGAATTTGTTCGGGCCCAATATTCATCATTAACAATAGTGTTATGTATACTGAATTTTCAGTTAGGTCTCCTATGAGATAAGCTATTTATATTTGTGAAGTTCATTGCTGTAGAATCAACATTCAAGAAATAGGGTAAAGAACTTACTCCTATTAGCCAGTATAACATTTCCCCTCTGTTTTGTTCCTCAAATACAGACTTTTACATTCTTTGGAAGATCAGGGTAAAAATGTCACCTTCCACTATTGTAAATTTGTCTACTACATTAACTAGGGGAAAATTATGCTTACTGAGGAATTTTGTGGATTTTTGCTATGTCATGATTAGGAAAATGTGAATCTATTAGAACTGATAAGACTCGAAACTCCAAGAATTTAGCAAGTGCATATTCTCTACAAAATGAAATAATTGCCTTAAAAGTTTCCCCTTCCCAGGTCTACATAGATTACGAACGGTAATTACAAAGTGAGCTACATCTTTAACACTTTTCTATATTTTTCAAGCACATTACATTTTGCATCAGGTGTTACAAATCTGTGAAAAACATGAAGATTTGTCTTAATGGACATGATTCCAGTATTATCACTGCTGGCAAAAATCAAACATATAGTGCAAAAAAAAACTTTAGCGCAATTTGTTTCACAGGGTTGTTATGAAGCTATATCTATTACATGAGTACACATTTTACTTAGTATTATTTTACTACACTTCTAAACATTTTTACAACTTCATCCTAAACACATGACACAGAACTTTTGACCATAAAGTTATTGAACTCCTTTGAATTTTGCTTAATCCTTGGAAAAAGTGTCAAGTAATAAAAATAATATTGGTTTGTTGCTGTTCTCCAAAAATGCACAGGACAACAACCAATCCCAACAATTCATTTCTGAACTACAAATAATTTCTAGTATCGGAAATAGAGTATATGTCACACAAAATACATACTTTCCTTTAAAGATAAAATTGATTTTATCCTCCCTAAGCATAGCCCCATTATACCAAAGCAGTATTTTAGCACTGGATTAAAATTTTCAATATCTCACAGTTCAGAAAGAAAAAAGGAACATAATATAATTAGCTCAATAAGGGTATGTACTTTTATAATTATTCCTGCTAACCTGTTATAATTCAATTTGCTGATAGTTTTGAGACTGAATTGTTTTTATTATGCAACTTTAATTTTAGTTTGAAAACAATACCCAGTCCATTTAACTTCTAACCGTATTAAATCCTCAAAAACGTTCAGAACAACCTGCAGCCCAAGACCACCCTCTTTTCTTTACAGAGCTGTTCTCAAGGACCCTGAAGAAACCGAGTAACTGTCACCTTTTTAGTCTGGCCTCAGATTCCGCAATAAATAACAAGCAACAGGATGAGCAGTGTAAAATAATAATTGTACAGAGTTTTTTTTTAATGTTTCCATTTCTGAAGAATGAGAAAGAAAATTTACCATGTAACCGTAAAGGGAGAAATCAAAAGCAGACGATTCTCCTGGGTGTGGCCAGAACACAGAAATTAAGGGAAAAATAATCAAAACAAAACAAAAAAAACAAGAAAAAAACCAAAATAAATGAAATAAATTCAAAGTAAACTAAAAGGAGCCCCTTGAAATCCATGCATTGTTAACACTTTTTTCCCCACTGTGTTTAGAACATTGACTTCAGAAGCAGCATCTTTATCTCAAGGTGTTGGGACTTTCCATAATTTCAATTGTTAATATATATATATATGTATACACGCATATACAAAGAGGCATTTTTTAAAAATAAAATTCAGTCAACAGCCAGAAGCCTGGACAAATGGAACAACAACAAAAATAAAGAAAGAAATAAACATAAAAATCCAGGCTTTCAGGTTATTTGCTCTCAAAGTCAATATACAATAATCCATCTGAGATGAGTGATTAAAATAAGTTCTAGAAAAAATATCCTAGTGCTGTTTAAAGGACACTATTCTTTAAGATCTGAAAAAACAGTTGCGGAATTTTTACCTAGAATTACTTTGCATAGGTTGAACCAGAATGCATATTTTGCAGCTATTTAACTGGACTGGTCAAAGCAATTTTATATACATATGCTGAAATTTAAAATGGAGTTATTTAAAAATATGGCAAAAAAAATTTTAAATGCTTTTCAACATAAGAGAAAAGTATTTTTGCTGTCCAAAATATTTTTTTAAAATGTGAAGACATATAAAATAGGATTATCACTGCATCTGTTAAGAAAACAGATAATCAATGTTAAATGAAATTTAGAGTGATAAAATAGGATTTTGTTACTAGATCAGTTAAATTAAGTCTTAGCATACAATTTCTCATTTCTTAAAATCACATTTTTAAAATTACTGGATTTTATAGTTGAGTATATGGCCCTTACTAGTCCTCTAAGCAGCTTTAGGAACTACTCTACTCTTCCCTACTCTAAATAGCTTTAGGAACTACTCTACTTTTCCCCATTGCATCAGCTGGGTAGTGAAATCACTACAGCTGTTTTCCCACTATTAATTGCAACAGAAACATCAGCCTCATTGGGAGGGAAGTCCCTTCCATTGATACAGACATTCAAGGCCATTGTTTCCCTGCTACTTATTACCGGGTTTCCCACCCCGAAACTAAGCCCTAGCTTGATTTTTCAGGGTGGGCCTAATATAAGCCCTACCCCCAAAATAAGTCCTAGTTTTGAGACAAGGCACACACTTAAAAATCAAGCTAGAGCAGGGCTGGGTGGTGTGGATATGCCCCACACGCTCCACACCCACTTACCTTACAGCCAGACCTCTCCTTCTATGGAGTCTTCTGCAATCAGGCCTGCATTTCGCAGTCACAGGCCTTTCCAGAAGGCCTGTGCTGCCAAGAACCAAGCTATGGATTCAATCCATAGCTCAGTTCTGCAAAACCTCTGCAGCTGAGGACTTAGCTATGGATTGAATCCATAGCTCGGTACTCGGCTGCAGAGGCCTTCCAGAAACGCCTATCTGCAAAATGCAGGCCAGAATGAAGCTGCAGAATGCAGCTGCTCCGCCACAGAAGAAGTGGGCCATATAGGTGGGGCTGTCGGTGCCGGAGATGAGTAAGACATCCCCCCAAAATAAGAACTGGTGCCTCTTTTGGAGAGGGGAAAAAAAAGACCCGGTTTTATTTTCGGGGAAACACAGTATCTTAAGAGAGAAAATAGAGGAAGCTGAATAAAGCTGTATCTTTCTCATGCTCACTGTTGAGTCTGTTTACCTGAGTGACCTGTAAAGAATTCTACAAGATCCCACCAACAGAGAATAGGAGAAATAATTTGGGGCTATTCATTATCTTCCAGTTGTTGTTGTTGTCAGGATAAAATCAGAGGAAGGGCCACTGTGTACACTGCCTTAAGCATTTGGATGAAAGGCATTGCACAAGTAGAAGAAATAATAATAATTACCACAACAACTGTAACTACAAGGCTTGGTTCAATCATTGTTCTGTGTTAAAATTTGAAGGCCACTGATATAAATATTGTAGGAGCTTAAACTGGTATTTGCATGGAAACCAAACTGGAAGAAAGCATCATATTAACAGCTCCTTTCACTAGGTACAGCTAATGAAACAAGAAAAATGAATGAAAATTAATTAAAAAACAGAAGTCTGAACATAACTGAGATTATTATGTAAATGGCTCAGACACCTCTTTTTAGTTTTCCTAATATGCTGCTAGTTATCCAAAATTGTGCCTAAGATAATATTGAAAGTTGAGATGCTCATAAAACCATTAACATTTATCAATAAATCTACATAGCAAAAAACTTTCACTCATACTTTTTTATTAATTCCAAAGGATTTTTACAAGAAAATCGAATACAGCCAATGTGCACAAACACACTTGGCTCTCAAAAATTCCCCATGTCAACAACATCATGAAAATACATCATCTCATCTCAGATGGACTAAAGGGTAATTTGAAACTCTCAAATTTTCCAACACTGGACATATCTGGCAGAGGGCCTTTGCCACAGTTATGAAAGGATAAAGATCTGCTCATTCCATAGAGGGAATGGGTGTAAGCATACCCAGAGCAATTTGGATTTTACATTTTCACCTTTTAAACATTCACATATTGAAGAATATACCCTTGAGAAACCCAGGAAGGGGAAGGGTAATACTGAGAACACAGCACAAGGCAGGCAGCGGGGAGCATCTGCTTTCCGATTCCCAAGAAAGAGGAGGAGGAAAAAGGTTCCATATCATTAGGTTAGAATAGAAACCACAGGGTAGGATACAAGCATTCAAGTTTTGGCATACTTTTTTTTGCAGAAGAAGTGAGTGATAAGTGAAGGGTCCCTAAAAAGAATTGTGCTTCTCCACTGGGAACCTAAGCTTCTTTAAAAAATGTCCCAATTCAATAAAAAATGCCATAAACACAAACACTCTTTGGGAATCCTGCTTATACTATTCACCGTGTTTAAAACAGTCTCATTTGAATCTTTGAATCACTGTGAATTTGACAGGCAAGTGTTTGAAATTCTACCACCAAATAGAAAAGAACTTGATCAATGCCTTTATGAGCTAAATATTTACTAGATGAAAGTAAAGGGGCAAATGGCTATCATTTAATCTTAACAGGTTTTGTTTTAGCTGAAAACCAGAAGTTTTGGTTTATTTACTTACAGTTCAATAGTTATACTATAATTTATGGAAGATTCCAAACATAAGAACTGGATGGTCTTATGGCTTATTATAGCTTAGCAGATCATATACACAGGCTCCTCCTGAGAGCAACTACAAATAATGAATTAACAAACAAAACTGTCCATGGTTCCCTTAGTATTGGGCAAATAAGAAACCACTTTCTGTTTTAGCTTTCTGACTCCTTTTGACCTGAAGTCTTTGACTCCTACAACATGCTAAACGAGTCATAGACTGGGTTTATATAATTTGGTATCCTTATATCCAAATTTATATAATTTGGTAGCCTTCTCATCGGAAAAGTTAGTGAGTGTGATCTCAGAAGTACGTACGAGACTGCTGCTCATCCTTCACTAAGAATGAAACATAGCATATTATTTAGAAATTAAATCACAGCAGATTGCTTGTTAATAGTTGCATAGTTCAAATGGCCAGCCTACGGCACTCTAACCAGTCTCCTGATCATCCAAAAAATGTTTTACATCTCTGGCTTACTTCCCTTTACAGCCACTTCAAAGAGACTAGATATACTGAAGTGTATAGTGTATAGTGAAGTGTAGCGGTCAAACATAATACACTTTTCACTTCTTCATTCAAACATATACAGGGGGTACCTGAGTAATAGAAAGGTTAAGTGCAGATTGTGGCTCTTCACAAATTAAAATAATTATGTGCTGCATCAATTTTACCCTACATCTTTATAAACTAAGTTATGAGATAAATTAGATCCAATACTAAATGAATATATTGTATGTATTGCATAATGTACAAGTAGTAAATATCACCTCTTTTCTGGTTTTCAGATAAAACATAGGAAATCTGATATGCTAACAACAAAATTTTGTACATAAACATCCATTTGGGGCTCTGTATAGATTATGAATATCAAAGACAGGATATAAAATATAATACTAACTATGGCCTAAACTATCATGTGATGGAGTGAGGGTGTGGGACAGATGTTCATTTTTAATAAAAAGTGGAAAACTTAGCATTGATTAAGTCAAGCATAGTAGAGACATGCACTGTGCAAGCTTCCCCCACAGAGCTCTGCCAATGAGCCTTGCTCCTGACCTGAAACACTCCCTGCTATTCCAGTGCTGGACCTACTGGGCAGAGAGAGAATCACATCAATTCTTCAGTGAGGGGACATTGGTTTCATCATGAGAACCGGTTAGGACAAGCAACACTTAAAATTGCTACACTTAGGACTATAAGGTTTGCCATTGGCTCTCAAGAAAGTTAACTCTTTAAAAAAAAACTTACATCATTCTGAACAGCTTGCATTTGGAACAACTACACCTTTCTAAAAAGCTGGAAGCTTTTGTAGATATTGTAAGATGGTGGGCCAACATCCTTGCAACACTGAGGATTATTGCAACATCAGGTGGGCAGATTTTTCTTTCACCATATATAAAATATTTCCATTTTTTTACATCGTTTCTTTCCCAAACATTTTAAACTAGCAAAAAATTAGTAGCAAAACTGACTTTCATAGCTTCAGTGACTCTTTTTATTCTCAGAAGTTTGGAGAAATCTGATTATTTCAAAGGGAAAATTATAAAACTACTATTGAAGATACTTATTGATTATATACAACACCTATAATTATATGAAATGGCAGCTCTAGGTAACCCAGTGCCTAGTTCCTTTTCTGTCTATACAGAATATCTAGGAAGGAAGCTGCTTTATTTTGACAATTGGAGTAGACTGGTAAGGGAGAGAAATAGGTAGAGGGTAGATAAAGAAACAAAACTTACCTTGGACCCACGTTCATTGAAGATTATCTCTACATCAAGGATTTTACCAAATTGCTATAAAAAAAGATTTATTTTGGTTCATTAATTCAGCATCCTTTATTTTTCGTGGCTGAGAAAGAAAGGCTTTTGAATGCACAGTTGAAAATATTTTAAAATGAATTAAGACTTAATATTTGTTATTTATTTGTTGAATTTCTTCTGTTTGTCAAGTTTATAAGCCTCACAGTCTTTGATAAATTCTATGTAAAATATAAACTAGCAAATGTGGAATCCTTGGTGTTCTCTGATCTTGATTATTTGTTTGCAGAGGTTTCATTAATTAACTAGATAACATCATCAGGGGGCACTATATTTTCTCCATATATTACAAATGAAGGTGAATATCCGTATCCCAGGATAATGCTGCAGGATCCAATCTGGGTTGGTCACCAGGACCAGAGGTTTTGTCTTCCAAGCTTTCAAAGTAGTGTTGGAGCTCATTTTGAGGGAACTTCTCTCTCTTCACATATTGTCTTCTATATGTAACAAAAGACTATTCACAGTTGCAGTAAGGAATGATTGCTGGTTTAATTAAATTAAATATATTGTTCCATAATTCTCATTTTTTTATAGGGTGGAATGTTCCAGCCAGCACCTCCTCCATGCCATTCCCTATATACACAGTTTTAACATACTATCCATCTTCCACAGCCACTTGGTATTGTCGTATTCAGTCTTCTTCAGGCTGTTCTCCTGGGTTACCTCTCCAACCTTTTCTAATTATTGTTTTTCTGCAAATTGTAAAGTTTCTGTAGTCTACTAATTCTTCTCCCTTGTTTATCATAGTCAAATCTGATTACATAACTATAGCTATATAGCTGTATATGTACACTGAGACAGACAATGATTATGAAAAAACTATTTTAAGTAGTACACAGTGAATGTACTGATTGTCAACGAAGTAAGTGGGCCAGAAGCCACCTTTTCAAGTACCTAAGTGGAATTTCTACTATTCTCCTTTTCTAGCCATTCTGTTCTACTCCCCACTTCAAAATTTGGGGAAGAGATTCTTCAGTCAGCCATCATAGGGCTGTCCTTCCACAAGGTACTTCCCTTCCCACAAGGTACTTTTCTCTGCTTTTACAAACCCTGAATCAACTCACACCACTCAATAGTTCACTAGTTGCTGTTTTGGCTAAATAAATAGCATTCAGAGAACAAAGTTACATCAAGTTGAATAATCTATGACCAAGAAATTCCTTTAGGGAATTTAGGGAAAAGAATGTTTCTGAATTTAATTAGATGTGCTCAGCCAAGTACATACTTCAGCGAAATGCACACATCAGCCATCTACTTTGAAGTTCTTAATGACTGAAAACCATATGATCCAAAACATTACTTTTTCTTACATATATTACCCATTCTATAAAATCATTTACTGAACTCTTTTTTTGGCCTGTCACTATCAAATGGGGTTTTAAAACAGCTAACTTTTTTAAACAGAAGTTCAGCTTTAGAATGTCATTCTCTGGAGGTAGATATACCGCATAGTTATTTTATTTCCCAAGGATTTTCCATCTTAAAATTTTTAATACTTCTTAAATTATTTGCATTATTTTATTTATTTTTAAATACAAACATACTTTTACCCGTATAATAATCTTTTAAAAAGATTGACCTGACAACAAGTGGCTCAAGCTATTTAGTAAACTAATAAATATTGGTTTGAGTTTAGTCGTTAGAATCTCCTTTGCCTGGTTTTATTTCTTAACTTCATAAATTATTATACACTTTAAATGTTGTAAATAAATGCACCCCCCAATCCTTAGCATTATCCTGGAATGCATATTAGTACTGTAAATAAAAATTTACAAATAAGATAATTAATCACTGCCATAGAGCAGGGAAATCCTTAGCACATTCCCATACAGATTACTATAAAGCATTTACATGTTATGATAGCCATCCCAGCTGCCAGATTATAAGGTGCTAGCAATGGGGCACAAGAGAGAAGCATGTCATGGGACTACAAAAACACAGCAATTAAAGATATTACTTTTCTATTATTCTTGGCAGAGGCAAACATAATATTTTCCAGTCAATGTCTCCTCAGCATTAGTGTATTACAAATAATACACACCCAAATATAAAATTATATGGACTAAAACCAGATTGCTAAGTCATTGTGCTTTGTTTATTAAACTCAATAGCATGACAGATTACTGCTTTGACTCAACTGTGCTGAATTTCATTAAGTGTGTGTGTGTCATTTTCTTTAATATGGTTACTCACTCTGGAGACAATAAATGCTCCAGGATCTAGAACCAAACATTTTTGCATCTTATTTTTTTCTATTTTAAAATGAGAGCCACTGTGCTACACCAATGGGTATTGGAATAGGACTAGCAAAATCCAGGTTCGCCTAACTATAAACTCAGAAGCATGTAAATAATCTCCCACAGAGGACTGTTGCAAAGATAACAAAATGTGCTAGATGGAAATAGGACAACCACAGAAACCGTATGAATTTCATCTGGGAAATGATAGAATAATAATGCAATTAACAAAATAAATAAAATTGTCAAAGACTAAAAACAACAAAAAATTTACTATGTCGATAATTTTATTTATTTTGTGCCTGTCATAGCTGCTAACATCTCTCTTTTGCCAGGAATCTTTATTTAGATTTCTTTAAAAGCTATGAAGGTCTAGATATGAGATATAACTCAAGGAAATATTTTTCACACAGCTCTTTAATACACTTGCTGTTTCTCAAAAATCCTTATCTAGCTATTCATTTGGCCAGTGATCAAAAGGCAGCTTAAAACAGACAGAGTTGAAACATGCTTAAAGGGTGAATCCAGGCCTATCTGATGGAAAAATAAAGTAAAAAATAAAGTACACTGGCACTCTTTTTAGTAGTTTTAAGATCATCTTAAAGACCAACACAATTTTCAGAAAATAAATCCCAATAAGGGACAATTAATTCCCACTCACACATTAGCACCTAGATTCACAGTCTGGAGATGAATGAAATGCAGTGTGTACCAGGCAACCTTTATTCGTTGGTGGAACACAATTCAATATAATTGCATTTCAATGCAAGTGTGGGAAAACATCTGCAAACCTGAGAAGACCATCCAGAAGCATTGGACATAGGGCAGTATGTAATAACTCTTTTTATTTGGAGCTTTGGAAGTTTAGTCTAGTGATTGAGATACGATGTACCAGAGAGCATGAGTTCAAGTCCTGCCTTAGCCATGAAAGTCAGCTGGATGACTTTGGACCAGTCACTCTCTCTCAGCCCAACCCATCATAGGTTTGCTGTTGTGGGGCAGAATAGGAGGAGACAGGTTTGTAAAAATAATAAAATGGGATATCAATCAAACAATCAATATTACATTTCTAGCTGTGGATACTGCTAACATACCCCAAACATCTGCCGGAGGTCAGGATCCCGAAAACGGAAGGGAATGTTGGACACATGCAGCCGCTTTGGGGTAGACTTGCTCTCAGCATTCTCACTGCTTTGTGTCTGCGACTGCTGGCCATCTGTCTGTGCCCCTCCTTCTGTCTGCTGCAGTATTTTAAAAAAGAAGAAAAAGATAATCACAAAAATTCATTTGTTAATCAATTCATGTTTTACACATTTAAAATATCTACCATATTTTCCGGCATATAAGACGACTTTGTAAACCAGCGGTTCTCAACCTGTGGGTCGCGACCCTTTTGGGGGGGGGTCGAACGACACTTTCACAGGGGTCGCCTAAGACCATTGGAAAACACATATTTCCGATGGTCTTAGAAACCGAGACACCGCGCCTCTATCTGGCTGCCGCCACCGCCCTCCTCCTCCTCCTCCTCTGCCAGCTCCTCCGCCTCCAGGGCGCCCTTCTCCTCCAACAGTGCCTGCTCCTGCCACCGCAGCGCCATTGCACGCGCCCCGGATGCCGCCCTGGGCTGGCTCAGCGGCCAGTCCGAGCCGGGGCCGCTGCTGGCACTGCCGCTGGACTGCTCTGCCACTGCTGCCTGAGCTGAGCTGCAGAGCTGAGCCAGTCTTCCTGCCGGCTCCCCGCCAGGCTCCGGGCCTCAGAAGCGGCCAAGGGGCAGGGAAGAGGGTGAGCGACGGCAATGTCCACATGTGTGTTGGAGGCCAGCCGGCCAGGCCAGGAGAGGAGAAGCGGCGCCTTCTGAGCGGGAGCTGGCGCTTCGGCCGCACCCCTCTTGCGTGCGATGGGCTACACGGCGTGGAAAAAGGCTCCCGCAACCCCACCGCTGCGATGGCGTTCAGGAGGTTGAAGGGGCAGGCAGGTCTCGGGGGGGGTGGCTGGGAGAGGGCAAGAAGTGCCAGGATGAGGATGGGGGGCTCCAGGTTGGTGGATGTGAGAGGGCAGCCGGCGGCTCTGAGGCGTGCAGATCCTCCACGCAGCTTCCAAGGCCCCGGATGTGCCGCCACTTGGCTCTCCACCAGGCTCTCCACCAGAGCCTCCCCCCCTCCCCGGGCAATTGTGCGGAGCTGCTTGTGCGTCCTGGGCAGCGCCTCCCCCCTTCAATCTCCTTCCTTCTCCATCCCTTTCCCCTTCAATCTTCCTTCCTTTCCCCTTCAATCTTCCCTCCTTCCTTCCTTCCATCTCCATCCCTTGGCGGGTATGAGAGGGCAGCCGGCGGCTCCGAGGCACGTGGATCCTCCGCACAGCTTCTGAGGCCCCGGATATGCAACCGCTTGGCTCTCCACCAGGCTCTCTGCCAGAGCCTCCCCGGGCAAGTGTGTGGAGCTGCTTGTGTGTCCTTGGCAGCGCCTCCCCCTTCAATCTCTTTCTCCTTCCTTCCTTCCTTTCCCCTTCAATCTTCCTTCCTTCCTTCCATCTCCATCTCCATCCCTTCCCCTTCAATCTCTCTCTCCTTCCTTCCTTCCTTCCCCCTTCAATCTCCTTCCTTCTCCTTCTCCATCTCCTTCCTTTCCCCTTCAATCTTCTTTCCTTCTCCATCTCCTTCCTTTCCCCTTCAATCTTCCTTCCTTCCATCTCCATCCCTTCCCCTTCAATCTCTCTCTCCTTCCTTCCTTCCTTCCTTCCCCCTTCAATCTCCTTCCTTCTCCATCTCCTTCCTTTCCCCTTCAATCTCCTTCCTTCCATCTCCATCCCTTCCCCTTCAATCTCTCTCCTTCCTTCCTTTCCCCTTCAATCTCCTTCCTTCTCCATCTCCTTCCTTTCCCCTTCAATCTTCCTTCCTTCCTTCCTTCCTTTCACCTTCAATCTCCTTCCTTTCCCCTTCAATCTCTCTCTCCTTCCTTCCTTCTTTCCTTCCCCCTTCAATCTCCTTCCTTCTCCATCTCCTTCCTTTCCCCTTCAATCTTCTTTCCTTCTCCATCTCCTTCCTTTCCCCTTCAATCTTCCTTCCTTCCATCTCCATCCCTTCCCCTTCAATCTCTCTCTCACCTTCCTTCCTTCCCCTTCAATCTCCTTCCTTCTCCATTTCCTTCCTTTCCCCTTCAATCTTCCTTCCTTCCCCTTCCCTCCCTCCCAACATTTTTGAGCAAGGAAGAGTAAGCTTCTCCAGCGAGCATTGCTATATTGTTTTTGTGATTAATCACTATGCTTTAATTATGTTCAATTCATAACAATGAAAATACATCCTGCATATCAGATATTTACATTACGATTCATAACAGTAGCAAAATTACAGTTATGAAGTAGCAACGAAAATAATTTTATGGTTGGGGGTCACCACAACATGAGGAACTGTATTAAAGGGTCGCGGCATTAGGAAGGTTGAGAACCACTGTTCTAAACCATGAAAATCTTCTCAAAAGTCGGGGGTCGTCTTATACCCCCAGTCGTCTTATACGCCGGAAAATATGGTATATCAATTTAGCATCTGAGTTAAATTTTCATAAAAATAGTTCAAATAAACAGCAATCATTTGTTGATGTGAAAAATGGAGATAACAATAGTAAGACAATTTCCATAAGGCAATATCTAGGACTCTCAATGCACTTCATGTAAAATAAATTAGTAAATTAAACTCAACACTTTTTTCTTGAAATAATATATTCAGTTTCTACCAGTTTAAATAAATTGGCCTATTGTGAAGTTAACCTTGTCCTGATTGCTTAAATGTAAAAGCCTACTGGCATGCTTCCATTATCTTTTAGCTTTTAATATTCCAGTACAAAAGTTTTCAATTGTAACAGTTATTACACGGCACTTTAGTGTATTTTAAATATTTCACTTGCCTTATCTTGTTGCAATACTTCAAACCACCTTATATGGTTCTAGGACATTTTATCTGTAAATTAAACATGAGGCTAAAGCTGAGACAGCTTTGGTCTGTCTATATCTATGATAGCAATGAGATCCTGTCACCATTTCATAAATAAAATGTCATAATGTACAATTATAACCACATATAATTAAATATGTCTCTCTAACCCAATGCTGTCATACACAAGTCCTGTGCTGCAATTTTACGGCCTGGGAAGCAGTCTGTGAACTCATACCAAATATTTATTCATCCCCCTCCCATTGCTTCCAATATATGATCCCCCAAAACAACTATTATGTCATCACCTCAAAATCTATTTGGATTCTTCCCATTCTTCCTCCATCTACACAACCCAGGGAGCAGAAGGATGGTGGAAATCAACCTAGTTATAGATCTGTATTTCAGCAGGAAAAATGCTACTACATTTGGATGTGGTGTGCCACTAATGCCAGAGTCCAACAAGCAAGCAAGATCAAGCTCCAAACCAAATATAGCAGACTTCAAGGACTTAAGTTAACATTAGATTAACTTCGCTGGGACAATCCTATTATTTCACAGTGCAAGCTGGTATCCTATATTTGCTTCTCCTTTATATCAATCAGAAAAAATGAATTCAACAAGATGTGCTGCCTCCTGACCTTCTCTATTTGTTGTTGCTTTACCAAAATGAGAATACCTCCCCACATCCATCCACTGTTTGTCAGTAACATCCTCATTAGATACTCTACTGTCCTAATTACAAATGATTGTTCTAACAAAACTTATACCAATCATTGTAAGAGCTCTGTTAGCAGAAGAATTTAATAATCATTTAAAATAATTATATTGTGTTTTAGTTCCTTATTTTTATTCATTTATTTATTCGTATTCTGCCTTATTTTGCAAATAACTCAAGGCAGTGAACATATCCAACACACCTTCTTCCTCCTAGTTCCCCACAACAACAACCCTGTCAGATGGGCTTGACTGAGAAAAAGTAACTGACCCAAAGTCACCCAGCTGACTTTCATGGCTAAGGTAGGACTTGAACTCATGCTTTCTGGTACCTGGTGCCTTAACCACTAGATTGGCTGTCAAGATATTTGTGCACATACACCAGGGGTGTCAAACTCGCAATGTCACGTGACATGTCGTGACTTTTTTTCCATTGCCGGCAATGGGGGGGGGGGTGTTTTCAGCATGATGCATCCGGCCCATGGGCCGGCAGTTTGACACCCCTGACATACTCAAATATCTTGCCTACATATATTTACACATTATTTTTTACACTGGGACTTTAGTGTCTTGCTGAAAGAAAATATGTTTCCTTATTTGATGCCATAAAGACAGTGGTCCCTAAAAAAAAACCCCCAAAACTAAAGAGACTCAGATTTAGGAAGGCAAATCTAAATAGCTAAGAGACCAAAAGCTTATTTTAATCATTATTTCAGTAATTTCTAAATTTATCTAAATCCTGTTATTGCCAGAAATCTGCAGTATTAAGAAATCTAATTATGGTAAGGTCTGAAAAATATGTCCACTTAGAACTAGATCAGTCTTTAATGCAGCTATAACAAAAGAAAGCAAAATGAAATGGCATGATTATCTTAACATTTTCTTGGAAACCTATTAAAATTAAGTGTTCTGTTCACACAATATTATGTTTCAACACATGATTCTTATTTATATGGTAATTTAACTTTTTTTCTTAATATAAACAAACCTGAAATTGTTTTATGTTGTTGAAATATAAATACATTAGATTCCTACTTTTAATATTCTAATATTAATTCAAGAATGTTGTAGTTCAGCAATTTCAATTAATTTACATGATTAACTGTTTTCAGTTAAATGAATTAATACTGAATGATTTAGAACAGGGGTTCTCAACCTGCCTAATGCCGCGACCCTTTAATACAGTTCCTCATGTTGAGGTGACCCCCAACCCCCCATCCAGCTGGCAGGGGGAGGGTATCAAAAACTTGACCCCCCCAAAAAGGAAAAAAATGGGAAAGTATAGGTAGTCCTTGACTTATAACAATTCGCTTAGTGACTGTTAGAAGTTACAACAGCACTGGAAAAGCGAATTAATGATCATTTTTCACACTTATGATTGTTGCAGCATCCCCAGGGTCATGTGATTTACATTCGGATGCTTGACAACTGATTCATACTTATGACATTCACAGTGTCCCAGGGTCACGTGACCAATGGCCAGGGGGCATGGCCAGCTGATCACTCAGGTTGCAGAGTGCCTGTGGGGGGGAATCTGTGGGTCTCTGGGATGGGACTGGGGTGGGTGCCTGCCTTCCTTCCCTCCCCTTGTCCCTTCCT